AAAAAAAACGAATATTATTTGTCATTGAGGAAAGAAAATATATTTCATCATGGTAGAAAGTGTCTGATAGGTTTAAACTAGCTATCGAAGGAAGTATCTGAAATGTCCAGCTTCTGTTCGACTCATTCGATAGAGTCTATTGAGATTAGAAAAAGTCTAAAAGGATGTGAGCCTATAGCTTACTGGTCAAGAGTTATGACAACTTTTATCGAGAGCGAGGCATTCGGAAAAAAACAAAATGAAGAGTTTTGACCTGAAATTTTGCTTATAGATAGGTTTAATAGTTATAAGATAGTTCTGAAAGTGTCAACACAAACAAAAATATCTTTCTCAAGATAATTAATTTCTAAGTAGATTGGATTATTATGTCCTCGTACGGTCAACGTCTGGTTTTTTTTGGAAATTGAATACCTAGAGAAAGACATATTCATTTTCGTTGAAACCTTCAGGACTATTCTGTGACTATTAAATCTATCTATAGGCCAAATTTCAAGTGAAAATTTCATTAAAACGGCTGTAACTCTTTTTTACTACACTATGAACTCGAATCCGTTTCTACTTTTCCTTATCTCAATATGCTCTATCGTGAGTACTTCCCTCATAAGTATTTTAGTTGATTTCGAAATTATTCAATTCTCCGTGAAACAATCGTTGCAAGCAAATGTCTGTTTCCTCTGTCAATATACATCGTACGATGACAAGAAAATATTATTTATAAAAATCCCGCAATACACACGAAGAGGAACTAGTCAAGTGTTGATTAATGAAAATTAACAAGACATCTAACCAAATAAGATTAAAATAAAAAGCATTTTCTAATTCCTGGAAGATTGTAAATTTTACATTGACGAAATAAAAACAAACTTATATATTTATTATTTTTGTAATGATGAAAAAGATGTCAATTGACTTAATGATTTAGTTCTAATGCGAGATATGTGGAACCAACTATTTTTAGTCTAGAGAAAACTATTCCAGAATTTATACCTATCACATCTGAAAAAGTTCTCAAATACGCGTATTTTGATTTATCAAGTCTACGACTGGCACCTATTTTGATCATATTTTCTGAACTACACTTCGATTGTCATGATTTATAACATAATTTGCTTAAAACAATAGAATATTTAATTTAGTTTCGATGTCAGTAAATCTTCAAATTTTGGCACGGTTACCAAGATAGGCACAAAATTTGATTTTACACGTCTCTGATTCTATGACAGAATAAACAACAAATCATATCAATCGTAATTTTCTGCTCTAGTTAACCATATAAGTAAGCTTAAGTAGCGAAGCAAAAGTCTCATATACGTCTTGTGTTTTTCTAAGATCGAGATAATACTTCCAATAACATTTTCACTTATCATACAGAATCTTTTTTATAACTTTATCTTGATAATTTATACGAATCAGCTTTTGCATCTGACTGAGTCATTGTAATTTTCCGTGATTCAGCTCATGTACGTTTTAGTTTAACACAACATATAGAAAGTTTTTTTGTTGTTGTTGTGACCTAATTGATTCGATTCGAATTCTATCTAATTAGAGTTAACATTTGAATATTTTTATTGGTATGTCAAGATTCGAGAAAAAAATATATCTTTTGAAATTTTTAGATGAACAAGTTTGTTCACTTAAATTTGGTTCATGGACGTAAGTAAAATTCAATATCTTTCTATTTTTCACATATAGAAAATTCTTCCATAGACATGATGGACATCAAATTAATTTATCTCATATTGTTTATAATAATATTGAAATGGCATGTTCATTTGATGATTATCGAATGCAAGGTGTATTTTTTCATAATTATTATCCAAATGGTGAATGGGAAATAATTCGTGCACCAGCTAAACGTAATCAAAAAAGTTATACTTGTTGTTTAGAACCATATTATGATATAACATATGTACTTGTATTAAAACGTAAAACATTATTTTATAGAATTCATTTAATAATTCCTTGTGTTGGTATATCATTATTAACATTAATTGTTTTTTATTTACCAAGTCAATCAGGTGAAAAAATTGTTCTTTGTATAAGTATTGAATTAGCATTAACAGTTTTTTTTCCATTATTGGCTGATTTAATACCCTCAACATCTGTAATGATACCGTTATTAGGAAAATATTTATTATTTATAATGATTCTTGTTATGTTATCAATATTAAATGCAATAATTACACTTGCAATTTATTATCGAGAACAAAATTATAAAAAATCTATGCCTAAATGGATGAAATATTTTTTTATTAAAGTATTATCACCAATATTATTTTTACCATCACAAAAACCATATAAAATTAAAAACTTTCAACAAAAAAAAAGAAAATATTTTATAAAATTACCGAAAGATAATACATATGATATTATTTTTTCAAATATGTTAGAAAAATTAATCCATTTAGAAGAAATTGAAAGAATTTTTTCAAAATTTAATAAAACTATTAAAAAAAATCAAGTAATAAAAATAACAAAATTATTATTTGAAATTATATTTCGATTTATTTAGAATGCTCATGATTGGCAACATGTTGCTTTAGTATTCGATCGAATTCTATTATTTATTTTTACTATTGTTTCATTAACAGGAACTATTATAATATTCGCACAAAGAACTCCACATGCTGTTTCACACATCGACTTGAATAATCTTAATCAAGGAGTTTTTAATGCTTGTAGTTATCGACATCAACATTAAATAAACCTTTTACATTGTAAATGTTAGTTTAATAAAAATATATTTATACATTCGATTAATCCTGATACGATCACCTGAAGTTCGCGCAAACCTCATCCAGTTAAGTACATCATATCAGATGACACCCTGAATACGCTTAACTGTCATTGATAGGAATATACTATCCAGAAGTGCATCTACAGGATGGCCCAAAAGTCACGTTACCGAGAAAAAATTGAGTGTCTCAATTACGGCTCGACAAACCGGACTCATTTTTTTTTTACCAAGAATAGAGGCATGTTCATACTCGAAATCCATACGGATAAGGTTAGTGAGAACCTTTGTCAAGTATGACTATTGACCTCAACAAGAAAATTTTACTTTTTCACAGATAGGAAAAGAAAATAATAAACATAACAAAGGTTCTCACTAATTTTATCCATAGGGATTTGGAGTGTGAACATGCCTGTATCCTTGGTAAAAAAAAATGAGCCCGTTTAGTCAAGTCATAATGGAGATACTCAACTTTTTCTCGGTAACGTGACTTTTGGGCCACCCTGTATATACATTATGTAGAATCAAATGAACTATAAGTACCGCACTCTAAGTTAAAATGTGTCGACTTTTTCCATCGTGAATTATAGTGTCGTGGGTACCAGCAAGAAAATGTGTCACATTTTTAACCGTTCTGTACATTTATGACGACTGTTCATTCACCATATTGTTTCGCGTGTTTATCTATATATAATGGATCTGAACTATCACATGAGAATCACTACTTTTCGTGCACCATTTTATATAATATATTTCTCGTAAATATTTCGAGAAATAATGACCTCGCTTTAGGAGAGGTCTATCTTGCAGTAGTCTGACCAAGATCTGACTAGCCTTACATGGCTGGATCTCAAAGTCTGGCTGTTTTACAGTATTGCATCAAACACTGATGTTAATTGTACTAATTAAATATTGATGGATATAATGCATGAAAGAAAAAAACATATAGATGCGGTGAAACCTAGACTCGAACCGTGATTTCAGAACGTGTCGTACGCTTTCTGGAGAAAATGTGTCGCAACGAGCACCTCGTGTTGTGCTTGAATGTGTCGTGAAATATGTTGTAAATCACGACACATCCGACACATTTTAACTTAGAGTGCGTGAAAACGGTTCCCACCCTTGACTTATTGCTATCGCGGTGTAGAAATTTTACAGTAGTTTTTAAATGAATGTCATGGTAACAGAAAAACTGATTTTCGACTTAAAACTTAGCATAAAGACAGGTCTTAATGAGAATAGTTTCTTATGAATGTTTCGGATCTTGCAGTTGCTCTTATTCTGAGATACAGCTATGATAAAAGCAGGATTTTTTACATCGCTCATATTTAACAGTAGATTTGATATTCTTCTTTCAGAATAGAAGCCAATCAAAAGACTTGAAACTTTCATAATAAACAATTCTCATTAAGATCTACCCCTGCACAAAATTCCCAGTCGAAATTCAAAGATTAGCTTTCCTAATATTCCTGAGCGCGATTTTGGCATTCATTTTTGAAAACTACCATAAATTTGCAATATTTGCACAACAATAAGCTAAGAGTCTGAATTGTTTTCAGGGTATTCAAAACTCATTGATATCTAGATGATACAGTTGAAGAACTTTTCGTGTTAGTACCGTGCACTGATAGAGTCGGTCAATCATATGCAGTTGTTCTTCTTATGGATGGAACAGTTCACACTATATATGAAGACTGAATAGTGATGCATGATTTCAAATGTCTCGAAAATAGAGGAGAATAAGACCATGAAAAAATACTAGATAAATATAGTTCAAACTAACTTCATGTTTCTTTGATCCTCTTGTAATTAAGTCTTCTTTGTGGATTCGAATCGATTGTTATCAAAATAGATTTGTTTATTTTGTTGAATTATGGAAAATAGAGGAAAATCGTTTCACATATATTTAGAATGATAGAAGTATATATATATGGGCGTGACCAACTGTCAGGATACCCCGATACTCATTCATTCATGTAGGTTCAACTATCTATCAAAAAAACGTGATCTTTTTATCACTTATACCACTTGTCTAATGCTATTGATCTGTAACTGTTTGAGATATAGATATTGGTAAAAATGAGGATTACTAAGGACATCCTTATGATTATATGGTAAACATGCTTCACATCATATTTGTTGATATATTGTCCTCGCTATAAACTCCATATACGATAATATTCTATCCATTCTGCCATACCGTCGGGTTCTCATTGGATCATTCCTGTTCGAATCGTGATCTTTTCGCTTTCTCTCGTTCCACCATTTTCTTTAACATACTTTAACTCGATAACACACACAAACGTTTATCACCCTTGGATTATGTCTTCCTCACAAGTTAAATGGAATTGCTCTGAATGTGATTATGCTCCAAGTGATCGTCGTAAATATTGCACCGAATGTCACTCAATGTTAACGTGGACATGTACTGGTTCATCAAGGTCCGGTCTGTATACGAATTATTATCGTCATCGTGACAATTGTAGCTTTTGTACACCAGAACTTGAAGAAGAAAAACAACACGAAATGGAAGAGAAACAACAACAACTTCGGGCTTTAGATGATAGTAAGTAACATCACTCTATTAGTTTACATATGCGTTTCTTAGTCAACTATTTTATGCTACCAAAGTAGTCAAATTAATAACTATCGTATTTTTTTGTATTGTAGAACAACGTCCTTGGTCCGAATGGAAACGTACCAATGCATCTTGCATTCAACATACCGGTTATGACGTCGAACAAGTACAAGAATTATATTCTATGTGTGAAGAACCATTGATAAATTATTGCTCTCACAAGAACTACCGACTTACGGACGGTGCTGCTACCTTTTATTTATCTCCTATGAATATGCTTGTCGTTACACTATGGCACTTGAAACATTATCATTCTGAACGTTATATTGCTTCGGAATTGAATGTAAGTCAACAAGCAGTGAATTATTTATTGTCAACAGTTGTCGATATTTTACACTCGTGTGTGTATCCAGAATTAATTTCAATACCTGCTAATATATCCAGCAGTAGAACACCACACGGACCTCAACAATACCACAAGCTAATAGTCGACTCGACTTTTATTGCAATTCCGGAACCTTATGATTCACAACTACGTAAAGTATATTATCACGCAAAAAGTTCAACAAATTATGCATTGAAAGTACAAATAGCTTGCGACTTTCATCATCGAATAGTACATGTATCCGAATGCTATCGTGGAAGTGTACATGATATTACAGTTCTAAGAGAATCAGGACTATTAGAACATGTAAATGATGATGTGCAAATTATTGGTGACAAAGGATACATTGGTGAAGAATATGTGGTGACTCCAAGAAAGAAGTCTCGTGGACGTGAATTAACAGATGAAGATAAAGATTTCAATTATGACATTAACAGCGCAAGAGCAGCTATTGAGAATATTAATCAACGTCTGAAAACGTATGCAATTCTTGGTGGTGTCTACAGAGGAGCTATTGACGATTTTCATAAGGCAACAAAAATCGTACAAGTCGTTTGTGCTCTATGTAATTTGAACTTAATAAAACATCCTATTCGTAGATGAATACAATCATAACTTGTATTTTCTGATTAATTACTTAATAATGAAACCTATCGCTTTTTCCTGTTGTCAGAAATATCTAGTGGAGAATGGTGTACGTTAACAAATATGATGTGAAGCATGTTTATCATATAATCATAAGGATGTCCTTAGTAATCCTCATTTTTACCAATATCTATATCTCAAACAGTTGCAGATCAATAGCATTAGACAAGTGGTATAAGTGATAAAAAGATCACGTTTTTCTGATAGATAGTTGAACCTACATGAATGAATGAGTATCGGGGTATCCTGACAGTTGGTCACGCCCATATATATATGTAAAATTGTATTTTTTTTATTTGAATAAGAAATTAACAAGAGTAATGTTAGCAACGCGTTTCGAATATTTCTTCCTTGTCAGGCTACATCAATAAATACAATAAAGAAAAAGACAAAAAATTAAAGCAAAACCAAAAATAACAGAGTGTGAGTGTGGGTGCTGATCTGGGTGAAGATGGGTGTGAGTATGGGTCTGGTTTTGGTGATTATCTCACCCACATTCACAGACACATCCACAGCCTCTCACCCATACTCACAGACACATCCACACTCACATCCTTTTCTTTTTCTTCGATAAATTTAAATAGTTGATTTTCTTCGAAGATGTTTAAATCTGTATTGTCAAGATGTACTCCATTTCGAGGCTTGATGGAAGAAACATTTAATTGTACCACATCAACTGCTGTTGTTAATGAGGTATTGATTGAAGACGGAGTGCTGGTTGTTGTCGATGAGTTTAAAGGAATTTGTGAATTATATGATTGAATTAATGTTTTACTTTCAGTTGTAGGAGTTATTGAAGAAATACATGAGTACGCAGGTCCATTTGTTGATGGTAATGATCATAGTAGACGAGGAAGAATAGTCGTTTGTTGAGATGATGAAGAATACGAAGTAGATGATGATATATTATTATTATTGGAGAAAATGGTTAAGATTGATGTCGCAATCATGTTTGTTGATGATGCATTTCCATTTGCTAAACATGAATAAGAATATTGTTGTTTTTGTCGCTGTTGTGGTAATAATGAAGGATTATAAATTATAGTAGTTTTTGAATGAATGTCATGGTAATAGGAAAACTAATCTGCAACTCAAAACTTGACATAGAGACAGATCTTAACGAGAATTGTTTCTTGTGAATGTTTCAGATCTTGTCAATGTTTTTATTCTGAGATACAGCTACGATAAAAGCGTGTTTTCTACATCGCTCATATTTGACAGTAGCTTTAATATTCTTCTTTCAGAATAGAAGCAAATCAAAAGACCTGAACCTTTCATAATAAACAATTCTCATTAAGATCTATCCCTTTGTAATGCATGATTTCAAATGCCTCGAAAATAGAGGAGGATAAGGCTATGAAAAAATACTAGATAAATATAGTTCAGTCTAACTTCTTTTTTGCGTGTGTGTCCTTGTAATTAACTCTTCACATGTTTCGTGATAAGCTAATAATAACTTTGTGTATTATATTTATACTATCTAATTGGATTTTACACTGACCTCAAGTGAACAACAAATAGTAGTTCTAAAGACGATTGTATTAACCCTTTTAATCCTAACATTTTCTCTCGTTCTATACAAAGTCGAAGAAAATCTAGATTTCTCCCTCCTTTGCGTTCTCCTTTAGATCATTAGCTGTACAAGAATTCTAGCTACATTAGCTTAGTGCGAAAAAAAATTATTTTCGCAGCGAAGAATACATGTGCTTCTTTGAACACATATATATGTATCATGTAGGAAGACGACAGAACACAAAATTTCTATATTACCATATGCATGTCATCTCGTAGATGACATGCGGGATTGAAAGAGTTAGGATTAAACAGTAAGGAATATTGTTTGAAAATCGATGGTTATATGGTTTGATACTATCATGATGTAAATGAAACATTGAAATTCTTCATAAGAATATTGATTTGAAAATTCAGTGAGATTTAGAGTATCATTGAAGTTTGGGAAAAATAACAATCATTCATTGAGTTATTTATATCATTCTGTTTTTATAGATGTTTTACACGCAAGAGAAAATCCGTATGTTTATTTGTTTGGTTTTCGCTTCGTGTCCAACAAAGTCGATTTAAATTTTTCAAAATAGATATATCAAAATTCTTTTCAAGGAACAAAATGTGAGGTCCTAAATGTTTCCTTGCAATAGAATACTCTTTCTCTTTAATCTAAAACTCGAAAAATCTCTTTTCAAATTCTCAAAATCGTTTTCGGTTTTTTTTTCAATCTTCTTTTAATTAAAATTTACGAAATTAAATCAAACAGAATACAAAAATCTGGACTCTTCCATTGCGAGGAAGAGTTTAGTAAATCGCATACAACATCATCACATATTATTTTTGTTTTTTTTTATTTTTTATTTTTTCCTATATTATACACATGTGTATTCGAATCATCTTTCATATATATATAGAGCATATATAAAAAGAAACCAATAAAAAAAATGACTCGTCGACCACATGCGTAAAATAAAATGTCAGACACAGTATATTCTAAACAAAATTTCTGTTACGACATCCAAAAAAGTTCTTAAAGTCTATACATTCGAGCTTTTCTGGTAGCCCTAGAGAATGTACTGAGTTAAGGGTACCCGAAAAAGTACCCTGTTACCAGTATGTCACAGGAACTTTTGGGTACCAAAGTACGTGCAAGTACTTTCACGTACCTAAGTGGTACTTTAACAAGTACCCTGCTACAAAATGTGTAGTAACTGGGTACTTGAAGGTAATGATCAGATACTCAATTGGGTACTATTATATAGTATTTCTAGGTACCCTGTTACAAAAATTTCAGTATGTTCAGGATCGAACCTGACCATTAACTTTTTTTAATTTTTGTTTCTCTCAAAGCAATTTATTACAATTTTTTTTCGATTTTATTCAATTTAATTTTTTCAATTCCCAAAACTTAGCAGGTACAATGCCGGGATCCGACCCGACTTGAGTTGGTCAGGTATCCATCAGACCACTTCGGAGTAGTCCGCTCTTAATCTACGATCAAGATCGGCATGTTCTCGACTAAGAAATAGTCAAGAAATAATCTAGAAAAAATTAGTATGAAAATAGATTAATTTCTTATGTCTTACCCAGTTGTTTATATGGAACCGTGCGTGAAGAAGAAAACGGTGAATGAATAGTCGCTACACAGAACGCGACAAATATAAGGTACTCTATGTAGCTTTCCTCAGTAAAATTACAGATGCGAGTACCCATACAAGTACTTGTTAAGTGAGCGTACTTGTATGCGAACCACACGCAGTACCTACATCAGTATAATTACTGAGAATTTTCGAAGTACCCATATTGGGTACCCTGCTAGGCCTTTCTCAGTGCATGGGTACCCTGAACTCAGTACTTTCTCTAGGGAGATGATGCATAGTTCATTTTTCGAAAATCCACTGTTCTTTTCTTTTCAAACAATTATGAATAATTGAATTGTTTATTATAACAATTCAGTACCCAAAATATCTTTGTAATTCATTTATCAACAGTAATTCAATAGTGGTTTATATTTCCATGCTTAGGTATTATGTAGACTAGTAAGTCGTCATTAAAGCTAAACATTGATAAATGTGTGTAGAACATTCAAAGGTGTCATGGAAAACTGAAATGCTTAAGACCGAGAAAATCATTATCATTATTAGTATTACAAAATTTTCTTATAGTTTTTTATATCTTGCCTACTAAAAACTCATCATGAAACATTGAGACGAAAGACAACATAGACGATACACCATCTTCGCCACATTCTATCATGAGCGCAGTGAAGGTGGCGCTACCTATTGCCTAAACCGAGAAAATCTTTTTCTACAATCCTATCTATACTCCATTCTGTAGTCAAATTCTTATAGTCATCTTTCGAGTTAGGATGAGTAAATTGTTTTTCCATATTCCTATATAAATGCTTCCGAGCATAACAATAAACAGCAAAATCAAAAAGCAACGATTTAAACAATTGTTATTGATGATATACTTAGAACAATTCATTTCATACCTTGTAAAAAATTTAAAGAAGCTTTCTCTTGATATGAACTGATAATCAAAACAATACTCTATTTTTCTGCGCTATTATATTATTCTTTCATTCCTATCATAATAATAAAAATTTCATAATATCTGTTTTCATTATGATATGTGACAGTTACATTCGTTCATATTGTCTTCGATATGTATTCTCTCTTTTTTTTCTTGTCTCTTCTAATGCATAACTATCTATTTATATATTAGGGTATACAAAAAGTAGTGAGTACAGTATAAAAAAGCAAAATAGAGCAACAAGTAATTCGTACTTCATCTTCAACCTCTTATCAACCTTCACGATACTATTTCGATCCTCTGTCAATTATCTTAACAGAAACAACTTCATTATCATATACAAAACATAATTCTACTCTTGCTTGAATATAAAGTGCAGTGTGTACTTTAATATCGAAGCAAAAATTGCTCTTATTGATCTAAAACAGAGATGAATAGTGTCAATGTTTAACTTAATTTTATTTTTTTTAACTTTGTTGAGAACGTACTAATAAAGTACAGATACAAACAAGACATGCGTCTTTATGTATATAGATGGTTAGGTATAAAAAAGGACGAAAAAAATGCATAATGAAAAGAACAAAGAGAATACATATCAAAGACAATATAAACTAATGTCACCGTCATACATCATAATTAAACAGGTTTTATTGAAATTTTTATTATTATGATATTAGTTGAAGAATGATATAATAGTGCACAAAAATAGAACTTCATTTTTTACTATGAGTTCATATCGATAGAAAGCTTCTTTAAGCTTTTTATAAGGTATTAACGTATGTCCGCCACTCTTTTCAGATTGCCCTGAATATTTAGTTTTCTCAAGTTATCATTTAACAATGTATAAATTTCCTTTATCATTAAATTAATATCATATTTTATTAAATGAAATAATCAACATACTGAATAAAAGAATTAAGCAAAAATTCTCTAACTTATTTTATTTTTCCTAACAACAAAGTGATTGCGAATCATTATACAAAGATATGTAAATAGTAGATGTTTATTATATGAATGAAGATTTCAAATAAGAATATCAAGTGTTGATAGAAATGTTTGAGTATTGTTTTTAAAAGGGTAAGTTCATGAGTATTCAACCATTTTTTCTCGGGAAAAAAACTTTTCTTCGTGTTGATTAAGTGGGAAGTAGACAGAAAATAACATTGAGTATGCTAGTTTTTGCCTGAAATGTTAGAGATTTGAAGTGTTTTCGGAGAACATTTCACAAATAATTTGCAAGAATTTCGGAGTTTATATTTTGATTCATAAGTAGAGTATTATTAATATTGTAAAATTATAAAAACATTGAATATGCCTATAGTTCGAAACATTTATATCTCAATAAAAAAAAAATACACAGAATCTTTTGAAGACTATGTTAGTCTAGTATTACTCAGCTTATCATTTCTAAAATCTTGAAATTTCTTGTCAGATCTTCTACAGAAGTTTCTAGAAAAACGCTACAAGTCTTCATCATTTTCGCGGTGAGAGTTAGCAAATTTGTTTTGTCAAACCTCTTTTCCGAACTCCTCCCACCTGACTAGCATAAAAAAAAAAACTTTTCCAGAAAAATGATCGATTACATATGAATTTACTCAATGTATTCTTCAATAGTATTTTTTAATAGATAATTACATGTTGCATCCATCATATTTTCGAGTTAATTTTGTGACTTTTGCATTCTCTCTCTTTCTTTAATGAATATGAAAAATTTAACTAACAAGCGTGATCAGTGAGCCGTACAAGGACTTTTATCAAGAAGTGTCATTCAAGAATCTATTACACAAAAAACTCTAATAGGTCTATCAACACTTTATATTTTCCTTTGAAATTTTTTTTCTTTTTTTTTTTGTATAATAAATATATCTAGTCTTCATTTACTATCTTTACATAACTTTGTTTCCATAAACATCTCAATATGGTAGGCCAAAAAAAAAACCAATTCACAATCAATTTTTCATTAATAATATCTACAATTAATATAGTTTTTCTTCTACCAATACAGGAATTTTTTTTCAACTTTTTGATAATTTGGTAAATAAGTTAGATAAAACACTTTTGCGTTCACCTTGATCAATTTTACTGTTAGTACTAGTTGCATCAGATTTTGATTTAGTACTTTCATGTCGTAATATTTCAGGATTAATGCGCACGTAATCATTAAAATTTTGAACAACTAGAATAACTTCATTGTTTTGCTTCATAAATTGAAGAAATTTTTGGTAAGAAATTGTTTCAATTGTTTGATTATTTACTTTTCGTATAATATCATCTTCATGAAGACCACCATATTGAGCTGGACTATTAGCTTCGATATGATAAATACGGTAGTATCCTTTATGAAATCGTACAGAAAAGCCAAATCCTGAAAAATTTGGTAAACGATATAAATATATTTCACGTAAACCTTCATTGTTAATCGATGGTGATATTTTATTGCTTTTTAATATTGTTTGTTGTCTTTCACCACTACTAACTTGAGAATAATGGACTAATATTCAAATAATTAAATGAATAGATTAATAAGATAAATTCTAAACTAACCTATTTCATCTCTACGAAGTTGTGGATGATTTATTGTTGATTGACTATTTGACAATGAACTATTTTCTTGTGATTCATTTGTTTCATTACTTCTTGTGGGTAATTGTGAACTACGTCGAATTACTTGAGATGTACCCATACTTGGTACAATTCGACGTGCAGATAATGTTTGGGTATGGTCATTTAATTCATCATCAGTTAATGTTTGAGATGCTTGTGTTTTATAATGTTTCCCTTTTCGATGACGATGACGAGACTGAACTGAATGTCGATCGGGCATAAGAATATTTTCGTCATTATTCCATGGTGATACAGGACTAGTTTTTAAATTTTCATTACAAAATAATTCGGTAACAAAACTGAATAAAAAAACAAAAATAAATAAAAATTTTTACTATATAAAAAAAAACAAAAACCTTTCACAATTACGATCGATATCTTGACTCTGATTTGTTGGATATTGATAATAATTATTATAAAAATCATTCGTTGATAATTCATCAATAACTTGAAGTATATTCGATGATTGAATAGTTAGTGTTAAAGTTTGAGTATGTTTTGCTATTTCTGAAATGACTTCTCTTGGATTCTTAGATAATTCTGATATTAATTGTCCATTAACAGCTAAAACACTATCACCAGGTTGTATATTAGCATCAGCTGCTGGTGAATTAGGTTCTATAGTGATTACATAAACACCAGAAGGTATATCATCACCAAAATATATACCAAAATTATTTTGATCTGAACGTTTATGAAGAACAACTGTATGTAATCTAGTGGTCATTACACTATATTCTTCTTCTTCTTCTTGTGTTTGCTTCCTCAAGGTAGCATAATATTTATGGCTGCTATGTTTATTTAAAATAGTTGTTATTCAATGCATGCATGATTGATTACCTTTCTTTTTTTCCTTTTTTATTCTGTCATGTTTGTTGTTGTTTATTACGTTCTTAGACATTCGTTTTACATATTCATAGAAAGACATAAATGAAGACTCAATAGATTAATTAACAATAATGAAGCTTTATATAAAACAAAACATGTGAATAATATATGTTATTGACAAAGGTAGTCATGAATAAAATCATGATGATGGAAGGCAAACAAATGAGCATGTAATTCAAGAAATAATTACGTGTTTGTATATATCAATGTACAGACTTTGACGTGTTGTAAAAAGACTGAAATGAAAAATATCGATAATAGAAAAAATATTGAAAAAAAAAAAGTGATGTCTCCAGTGAATGTTGACTTGTCTTCTTTTAATTTATTATTTTTCTTCTATTGATCTGATACTATGAATACTAGTAACAGTGATCTGCAATGCTTGATAGAGAAGAATTGAAAAGGTTACAATAATAAAAATCATTAGGAGTTTCATCATCATCGATTATTTAATTTTATTCAGTTGCACAAAGAAAAAATCTTTGCTGGTATCAGATAGATACTTTTTAATATTGAACAAAGTAATAACAACTACCAAATATCGCATATGTAACTTATATGTATTAAATGTCTAGCCAAAATTCATATAAATTACAGTTGGAGATAGGACAGAAAAAAGTTGTCCTGTGCTCAGCTCTTATATAAATATGAATAATCAATTGATAATAATGATCGGTGAACATTGCCATCGTACAAAAAAAAGAAAAGATAGATATACTTGAATTACATGAAAAAGTAAACTTTGTGTAGATAATTTTTTATGAACGATATTATAATAATTCGTCATTTACATTTGCTAAACTTTCTTTTGTATGATCTATGTTACAATGTTAGTTTTATACCAAAAATCATATTGTAGATAGAGGAAAGTTAATGTTATATTTTGACAAAAAGAAAAACTTTTCATGTCTCTTAGGTTAAAATACTCTTCATACTTGTAGAAGTTAGGAAGTTTAAGATATTGAAAAATCTATATTAAAGATGGGAAAGTTGTTTATAGTTTTTATAATATCTTTTCTTGTATAGAAGATGATCATAAAAAAAAAGAATAGGAACTGATACATTTAGAAGAGTAATTAATTTTAATCAATATTATGAAAATCATAAAGATTTTTTCACTTGGAATCGATCTCATGAGATAACTCATCCATCTGATGACCTCCGTTTGAGCTCATAGGTAGGACTAATTGTATAGATAAAAATCCTGAAAGGATTTGTGCCATTAGGCTTTTCTTCTCGAGTTATGGTCATTTTATTGAACTTCCAGCCTACTGCAGGATATCACGAGAAAAATCGTAACAAGGATTTTCATTCTGAAATTCTTCCCAACAATAGCTCCTATGGTCGTTATGGTATCCTGAAAGTTTCAATTCAAACATATGTTTTCCTTTTGAAATAACACGTTCGCAAAAAAATATTATTTTCATACAAGAATTCGAAAAACAGAGTTCCATCTCTGCATGTTATTTTTTTAATAGATATACATAATTATCTATCATGTGATAGTTTATACTGACATATAGTTTTTTTTGTTTATTCAATCTTTTTGACTTTTAATAATCATAAATAAATAATAGAAAATATTGAAGGATTAGTTTAATTATTAATGAATACCATTACATATGTCTAGCCAATACTCATTCAGTATTTCAAAAAAATCGCTATTTCATTATCAAATAAAAATTGATTATTATCGAGTTGTCTTTTTTGTTCGTTTTTTTTAATATTTATTATGGAAATAAAACTGAGCAACAAATCGACCCATAAATTTGAACATATAAAAAGAAAGAAACACTATTGAACATCTGTTGCTTGTAAGACGATCATTGTATATTCTTTTTCTAAAGGAATACAAAAAAAAAATAAAAACATTTGTCGACACTTTTTCTTTTGATATACATACCAGGTGCAACAAGAATTTCATGTTTTTTTGTACGCATTCGAAAAAAGACAAGTTCATTTGTTGGATCAATTTCACGAATTGTTGAACGAGCTTTATCAGATAATGATTTAATCAATGCTGCATATTGTTGTGTTAATGATGCATCTAAATTTGAACGAATTGGAATACCTAAAAAGAAAACATTTTTATTTATCGATAGACATTCAACGAACTCGAACTGTATGAGTAATCATCAAAGTATTTTAAGGTTCAGGATTTTTTAACATTGTTGACTTTATTTTAGGATACCTGTAGTCGTTTATTTCATTAAGAATAGGTCTACTATAACCAATCCTAGCATCCTTTGTATTAACTTACTTCTATTTCTTTTTATTTACAACTTGAAAATGACTACAATTAGGGTCGAACCTTCAAGGTGAGTACATGATTGTTTATAGATATATAAGCTAAAATATTAATGTCAATTCAATGAAATCAAGATTGAAAGATTAATTGATTTATCTATTATCAAAAAACTAAATATATTTAACATCCTCATTTCTTACGATCGTTTACAAAATGTCATTAGATTCCTTTAAAATACTTTATTTAAAAGAATTAAAATATTCAAATGAACATAAAAATTTATTTGAACTTTACCGTATCAAAACTTACCATCATTATTTATAATTAAATAACCTTGAACACCTTTATGTTCTTGAATTCGTTTCAATGTATCATCAACTTCCGCCTTGAATATAAAAAGATAATATTATTAAAAAAAAATATAAATCTTTAATTTTTATAAACCTGTGTCATTTTATATATTATTTAAATCTAAAAAAAAAACAAGCATATATAAATTGAACTCTTATTTATGAGATTATAATTATTAAAAAAAAAAAAAATGAGCAAACAAACGGACGGAAAAAAATAAGGCAAGAAAAAAAATAATAAAAGTTTATGTTTGTTCATTAGCTTGTAAAACGATTGTCAGATAATCTTTATCTAAATAAAACAAAAATAAATTCTTAAACGAATAAAACAACACTTTTTTTTAAAAATTTTACCAGGTGCAACAAGAATTTCTTGTTTTTTTGTACGAATACGTAAAAATGTTAAATCATTTTGTGGATCTAAATCTCTAACACAACTTTTTGCTTTATCTGAAAGTGTTCGAATAAGACCTGTCAATGACATTGTTGTTGAATTATCAATTGTTGAACGAACAAAACTACCTTTTATTATGAACAGAAAATAAAAAATAAAAATAATTTCTTATTAATTCAAAAAAAAAAAAGACAAAAGAACTAAATTACCATCATTGCTCGTTAGAATAAAACCTTGAACACCTTTATGAGTTTGAATTCGTTTTATTGTTTCCTCAATTTCAGCTTGTTGAGACGATGCTAATGTTGGTGCTGAAGACATTTTTTTTTTTTTGTATAACAGTTGGTGCACACACACACACGCACAGACAATCAACTAACAAAACTCGATAGACTAATGGAAACTATGACGACTGTATGGTATTTATAGGATGATGTCAGTGACACTATAGAGAACAATCACGGAAGAGGTCAATAGAGAACATGTATGGCATATTCTAGACCAATCATAAAACAATTTTTTGAAGGAGGAAAAAGAACAACGGTAGTAGGTCTCGTTATTTTAATGATCAATAAATCTAAAATTTGATTAAAAAAAAATTAGATTTTTCTTTTGATGACATTTATTACTCAAATAAAAAATTAAAGAAACAGACTACGAGAATAGATTTTGATAAAATCAAGTGAATGAATCTTTATTTTTGTTCCACATGTATAGTAGATATTGATAGAAACAAGCTAACGATGTGAGTCTTGCATCAAATCGAATTAGTACCTGGACAAATCTATCACAACTTCTGCGACTCGATTTGAGGCAGGAATATCTACGATTTTCATTCTGGAATAGAGAGAAATAAGAGTTGACAACGAGACAACATTTTCTGTTCTATATGAATTAATAAGAGAAAATATTCAGTTTTTTTTTTTATTTAATTTTATATATCGCTATTAATGACAAACGGAAATTTTCAATCAAGAATAAGATGATTAACTGATAGTAAATAACAAATAAACTAAATAAAAAACAAATGAATTAAAAATCATCAACTAACGAGAAGAATTTTCCAGCTGATAAATCGTTTTTGAGTCGGAACTATATGCATTATGTAGATTATCATTTTCTATCCTGAAAAATAGATTTTGCATTGTCAGTTAACGGCGACCGAACAATTCATTGCGGATACATGGGTGTCAGTGTGAATGAAGACTTTTTATGTACTCACACGCATTAACTATTGCTTTATATCTGTTTATTTCTATATTCAAATATTAAGTGAGCTACTGTGCTTATTTCTGGTGTCTATATAAAAATTAATTATTGAACAAAATAGATAAAAATTGTTTTTTTTTTAAATAAATCTCGAAAATAATCCATATATTCCACTTTTGGATTTTATTTATTCAATATAAACTTGATAAATAAGTCAATCGATCGATCAGCATTCTCTTGTCTTTTATTTTTTATCTTTCTAAACATAAATTTATATTATTTTAAAATTAATCCTTTCAGTCCCACACAGTAGTCAAAAAGCTACACACGTTCTATAATTATTTTTCATAACATAATTAATAAAAACTGGTACTTAATCTCTTGAAATGAAGTAATAGAGTATGCCCTACAACTTTCTCAAACAATCTGCAAAGGAGATGTATAGTCGTTATTGACAAAACTCTAAAATGTTTTCAACTATTTCTTAAAAAATGTATACAAGGCAGCTTTTTCAGTCAATCTCCATCTCGAAAAATTAGCATGCAACTGGAACAAAACACCAAATTCTTTCCTAGTTTACTTCTAAAGTACAAGTCGTCTCGGCAATAGAAGTAAATCATTTCTGATCAAGAAACTAATACAAGTGGTTCATGTTTTTATGACAAAAATGATTCTTATAACTAAAACGAAACTGATCTTGAAATAGATGAAGAGGGTGTGGGTGGGTGGGTGTGGGTGGCTGGGTGTGAGTGTGGGTTGGTGTGGGTGTGGGGTGTGGGTGTGGTGGGTGTGTGGGCGTAAGGGTGAGGGTGTGGGCGTAAGGGTGAGGGTGTGGGTGGGTGGGTGTGAGGGTGTGGGTGTGGGTGTGTGTCGGGTATGGGTGTGGGTGTGGGTGTGGGTGTGGGTGTAGGTGGGGTGCGGGTAAGATGAAAGAGGATACCCACACCCACCCACACACACCCACCCACACACACCCACACACACCCACCCACACCCACACACCCACCCCACACCCACACCCACACCCTCACACCCACACCCTCTAAATCACTTTATATATAAGATACGTTGAAAATATTTATAGAAGAATTTTAATAAGCAATACGATTGCATTTGAAAGAAAAAAAGAACATTTTTTAAATCAAATCAATACTGAAATTTGCGATAAATAATTTAGCTTCACAAATTGTTGAATTTTTTTTTCTTCAAGATTCAATGATAATCACAAGTTGTTTTCAGATATGTTCAGGTCAATATACTTCAGTCATTTGACTTATATCATCTGTTTGTTTTTAATTCATTCTTCCACTAAATCAAACATTTATCTTATTCGATAACAAAAAAAAAACACTTTCAAAGATTTTTAGAATGAAACAAAAAAGAACTCGTTTTTTTTCTTCAATACAACGAAGTAGTATAGAAATTTTGATGATGTTCTGCAACAGTTATATCATATGTTTCATCGAATAGTTCGACAACAATTGAGCAAACAATAACTTATCTATTTATTTAACAAAAGAAAATGAAAAGATGTTTTGAGGTTAAAGTTCTCCGTCAAGAAACACAATACTCATAATTTGTTCTATCAAATATTAGTAACATGAAGCAAAAGGTCATCATTTTGTGTTTTTTTTTTCATTACTATTATCAGCTGTTCGATGCCAAATATTTATTAAACATCTCATATTTCTTTTTTTGTTTTGTTTTGTATCTTACAAACATATTCAATTGGGTTTTTTTTAATCAAGCATTTACATAAAGTGAACCGCAAAAGTTTTAGACACCTTTATTTTTGAAGTTTTTCATCGAAGATGAGTAGTTAGGTCAAATCCAAATAGTGATTTGGATAGCTCTGGAAATTTTCTATCTAATAGAATATGTGTCAAATTTTTAAAAGAAACTTTGTGAAAAGAGTTTTCCAGAAAACCGTACCAGAGGAGGTTTTGAAGTCCTAAAGAATTATGATATGCTGTCCTAAAGTTATAGGCATTTTTTTCATTTTTTCTAATGCTTATAACTTTATGACAGAATATTGTAAAGAGCTGGACAATTCTTCATTTTGTTCAGAATTTTCTGCTCTTTCAGATGCTTATATTGAAAAATCTTTCTGTCAAAACTCTCTAGAACTTCAAAATCCTCCTGGTACGGTTTTCTGGAAAACTCTTTTCACAAAGTTTCTTTTGAAAATTTAACACATATTCTATTCGATAGGAAATTTCAAGAGCTATCCAAATCACTATTTGGATTTGACCTAGCTACTCATCTTCGATGAAAAGCTTCAAAAATAAAGGTGTCTTAAATTTTTGCAGCCTACCTTATATATATATTATTCTAGCATATGATGCTTGACTCAAGAATGATTTCTATTTTAATTATAATTTCTATGGTAAATTCCGTTTATAGTTCATATCATTATGTTGGTTGTTATAAACAAGTATTTTATAATAGTTATTTCTTAAGTTCATATATGGAACCAACATTATGTTTTCTTTTATGTGAAACACCAATTATTTATATACAAAACACTATTTGTCGATGTTCAGGTAGTGGTCTTACGGATCATAATCAACAAAGAGATGAACTTTGTTCAATATCATGTAGAAAACCAGGTGATACTCGAATTAAAACAATTAATACATGTGGAGGTAGAGAAACATATTCAGTTTATGCTGAAGAAAAATTTTATATTCAACATGCTCATTTATTTAATTTTCGAATTCAATTTACATCATGTGAATTATGGAATAATACTGGTTATTATAATGTATCACAAGTAGAAATTGATAGATTATCCGTTAATAAAACTCCATTGAATAAATTGGAACGATGTACAGCTACATGTCTTGATCAAAATATTACGACAAAATCAATAGGTACCAATTATAAACCAATAGGATAAGTATTTAGCAAATTCCCAGTGAAAAGTTTGAGGAAGAGATCTCCAAAATTCGTTGTCATGCTTCTATCAAGAATATTTTCAAAACAAATTTCTCTAATATAGTCTCGAAGAAAATATTGAGAAACAGTTGAAAGTATTGTTTGATCTATTAAATCAATGTTAGTTATACTTTTGAGAAAAATACATTTGTGTGTACTTAATCAAAGCTTCTATCATGTAATTGAGATGTTATTTCAATCTGAACTGAGAACTAGAAAGTAGTCAATCCTTAGTAGAATTTCTGATTTCTTCTTAACTCTTTGAAACAACTCTTCCATTTAATAATAATTTTGCTTTATTATTATATGGAAAAAATTCTATATTTAACTTTGAAAATTTATTTCTAGCTTTCAATGATGATAATAATCAATGTTTATGTATAATGGGACGAAAATTAAATCTAAATTCTGATAGTACTCATTATTTAACAATTTTACCAAATAATAGATGTGATCGTTATTGTGATAATACATTAGATAATTCAAAAGTTGAACACAAATTTCAATGTGGTTCATTGAAAGATTCACGTATATGGGCTATATATAATTTAAATGCTACATGCCCAATTGGTTCTATTTATATAAAAGAATTAAAAAAATGTATATCGATCTATAAAGGATTTTCGAATTTATGTCCATCACCTTCAATAAATTATATTTATAATGGAAATTTAACATGGAATATCTTTCTAAAAACTATTAGAAAATTAAATTTAACTAAATCTATTGTTTCAATTGATTTTGATGATTATATTACTATTGATCCTTCATGGATATGCCCAACAACAACAACAACTACCAATACAAAAGATTTAAATCTTTCTAATAGGAATTTTAGTACATATTATGTATTAGATAACGGTTGTTTACGTGTACATTCCTATTCTTTGAATTCACATATATTATCGAATCGTTTATGTATAATAAATCCTATAAATGAGAATTCATTGTCATATGATACTAGAATTTATTCAATTAATACATTAGATTCAAATACAATGATGACTATTTGTCCACCAAAATGGATTGATATAAACCATCATTGTTATCGAATATCGGATGATCATAAAACAATTCAAGAAGCAAGAAATAGTTGTATTACTCTACCAAAAGTTGATAAAAATTCTCCTAATCCAGAAATTATATCAGTTAATAATGATTTTACGGATACGAATGATGATAAAAAGGCAATGATTAATAAAATCAATAATCATCTAAATGATATTCTTAAAGGTGAAATTGCACAGTATACATCATCTTGGCAAGCTCGTCTTGGCTTCTTTCTTCTTGATACAAGTAATTTCTTTTTCAACTAGTTATCCATAACTGTTAGAATCCTATTCATTGATTTGTAAAATAATTTAGTAGTAGACAACTGAGAATATGTAATATATTTGAGAAGAGGTTCAATCACATTAGATTGAATGATTTATCATTGATTTTTGTTTGGTTTGACTCATACAGATTTATTCAGAATTGAAAAAAAAACGAGTTATTGAAATACAAAGATTCTGAGTATCACATAGAACATTCTATAGATGTTTTTCTAATGATAACTAAAATAATTCTTTTTTCTTAGATGCATCAAATACTGTACCAAAATTTGAATCATTTTCATCATTTAGTCTATATATGAAAGATTCTTCATCATTAGTATCCAATGTTGATATTAATCTTTCATCTATAAATGAATTTCAAATGCTTAATTCAAATGATGATAGTAATTTAAATATAAAAAATGATTCATGTTTACTTTGGACACGTTCAATAATCGATGAAAAACAACGAAGTTCGATTTTAGAAAAGACTCAAATTAATAATTGTTCGGAATCAAGACATGTTTTATGTAGAACAAAAACAATACTTGGTTTTAATTCACCACAAATGTGTTATACTAAACCATCAACACTTGGTTTACCAATAATGATATCAAATCATTTAACATATGAATTATGTTTATCTGTTTGTCAAACATTAAAAACAAATTTAGCTGTTATAAATATAAATAAATGTTATTGTGTCGATGCTACTCTTTGGCAAATACTTGATCTCAGAAGAGATCGTACAAAATATGAAACAAAAGATTGTGGAAATCCTTGTCCTGGTATGTTTCATAGATAAATAATTATATTTTTCTTTTCTTAAGTCAGATAACATATATTTCAATCTTGTTTTAATAATAATTAATGCAGAAAATTGATGTCCAAAATTTTGTTTTCTTCATAATATTTCATCACATCTAGTCTCAGCTTTCACAGTCATCCTATATTAATTTTGTTTTCAAAACAAGAATAAGCAAAATTGCACCTTACTTTGGCCGGGGTTGTAGAAAAACGCTGAAAAGGAAAACGTCGAAAGCAAAAATTGAAAAGAGGAAAACGTAGAAATAAAAAAGGTAGAAAAGGAAAACGTCGAAACTTTTACAGATGTCAATAAAAAATTCAATTGTTTTTGTTCTTATTGGTCACTCTTATGACCAGCATATCTAAATTTCTATCGAATAAAGAAAATTTCCTCACATTATAAATATACATATCGTTCAAATGGCAACAAACTTCGTTTCTGAAAATGATTCATTAAGAACTCATCAATCTGAAGTATCATTTGCCATATTGAACAAAGGTAAAACATTATTAATATATGAAAATTACGTATTAAAAAAACACAATCAAAAAAATATTGATTATGTGTTGAACGAGAATGTGCTGTGTACATACATACAAGTATAACAGATGAAGTCATATGTATTACTGGTGACGCAATTTGATGCTCTATACAACAAATTTTTCAAGAAGGAAATCAACGCGAACGAACTGTTGTTAGGTCTATCATTATTAGTTGGACGGAAAAAAAAATAAGGTGTTATTATATTATGAATTTTCTTTAGTCTTTAACACGATCTATATAGACTTACAGCGATACAATGGTCAAATAAGGCTATAAGCGGAAGGACCAAAGGCTACTATGTTAGGGTACCCATAGGTTCTCAAGGGAGTAAGGAAGTAAGTAATAAGGGGTAAAGCAATAACGAGATAAGGCTACAAGAATTACGGCCGTAGGGCTATCTATCTATATATATAGGGGCGTGGCCAACCATAGGATGCCCCGCTTTGATACAATCCTATTGTGAGGATAAAACCCACTATTGTTCGAGCCATATAAGAGGGAATCCTACATAACCCTGGATTGGCCCGAACAACATCATGTTTTATCCTTACAATAGTAGAGAAAAGCTACCAGCTTATCGTGTGAGCTAATCGCTTTTCTCTACTATTGTAAGGATAAAACATGATGTTGTTCGGGCCAATCCAGGGTTATGTAGGATTCCCTCTTATATGGCTCGAACAATAGTGGGTTTTATCCTCACAATAGGACTGTATCAAAGCGGGGCATCCTATGGTTGGCCACGCCCATAGATATCGGGTGTCTGTATGTCTATTAGCGGATGAAAAGTTAAACGTCTAAGATCATACGTTAAACAAGGAAACAACCGTACAGTATGCACGATTGCGCTAACAAGTTTTCTTACTGTAAAAAGCAATTGTTTATTTGATTTGAATTTGTGATTGAGTGAATGACTACATATATTTCATATAATTATTCACAATTTTAGGTAATCAAAATGAGCATTGTGGTAATACAAATACAATTGTTGTCTTACATGTAGCTGAAAATCTATCTCCATTGGGATATAGTAGATTTTATAAATATACAAAATCCTATCCTGATTTTGTTTATCATAGTTGTATACATTTAAATTTTATCAATCAATCAATAATATATCAATTCAATTTACATCATATAAATGATGTTCAACCACGTCATTGTTTAGAATTATGTAAAAAATATAAACAACAATATGCACTTCTTAATTCAAATAAATGTTTATGTACGAATATTCTAATGGGAAAAAAACAAGATAATAGATTTTCATTTCCAGATTTTAATTGTACTCAAGAATGTCAAGGTAATTATTTTTATACATGTGGAAATACAAGTAATTCAACAATATATTCAATGTATGTCATGAATCCAAGATGTCCTGATAGTAAGTGAAGAAAATATTAAAACTTATTAATTAAATAGAAACAAAGAAATTTTCTTTTTTTTAGATTTTCAACTTAGTGATAATGAAGAACGATGTATACAAACAAATTTTTTCGTCGAGAAAAATTCTTTTTCAACTGCACAATCTTATTGTAAATCTATTGGTGGTGTACTTGCAAAAATAAATGATATTTTAGAAATTCAAAATCTAATACCAAAATCAACACTAACTACAAATTATTTTAATAGCTATCCATTTTCTTCTACATTAAATTTAATTAATATGACAAAATATTTTTGGATTGATCGAACATCAGATATCATGAATAATAATAAAATATCAGATCATTCAATTGGAAAATGTTTTCAAACATCAAAATCTATTGATCAAAATTGTATTGTTCTTCGTCGTGAAAAACTTATCATTGATAATACATTAACTTTTGAACGATGTTTTTCTGAATCAGATCAATGTTCATCAATGTCTGCTATACCCGTTTGTGTTGATAAACATCTTGAAATTGATTCAAATGTAAATCTTTCAATGACAACAACAAACATATCAGTTAATATATCAATAGATTATTCATGTGGTAATGATTTAAATTATCATTTAATAAATGATTATTGTTATAAAGTATTATTTCATGAAACTACTTGGAATGAAGCAAAAATTGAATGTGAACGTGATAATGCTACATTATTTTTACCTAAAAAATATGCGATCTTTTCTTTATTAAAACCATTATTTTTACGTCGACATAGTTATACATCATCTGGTATTGCACATATTAATAGTTTTTATGATAAGCAAAATCATACTACTATGCAACATAATACAATCAATGAAAGTATTTTAACAAGTGAATCAGATTCCAATGATTTTCATAATTTATGTGAAACAATATTTCATTATCGTAATGCAAAATTAATGTCATCATCAACTTTATCAAACAACGAGAAAAGTCAATTAAAAATTCAACAAAATGGCTGTGCATATGTTGATTTTCGATCTGAATATGGAATAACGTTTTCATGTGATGAAATATCTTGTAATCGACCAGCAACTGTAATATGTCAAAAATTACCAATTATAACAACGCATACTATACTAGCAAAACAGTTAGTAGTTATCAACAGTTAGATGTCTTTTTTGCAAACTATAAAATTTTCTTAGAAATTCTTACCAAAAGAAAAAAAAAGAAATCATTATGTATATCGATATGCTGAAATATATTTTGTGTGGTTCTCGAGATAGTGAATATAACTATCAGCAAGTAATAATTAATACGATCTATGTATTTCATGAAATTTAGAGATGAGCAGATTTAACATGTGTTTTGTTTTTGTCTATAAATCGTGTTCGAGGATATATTGATTGTTAAAATTTTCCTTTTCTTTTAATAATCTGAAGTTCACTATGAATTTAATCAAGTCTTGTATAATCTTTCATAAAGAATTATATTGACTATTTTTTATTTCATAATTGATGATAACTTATACTGAGAATGAATTATAAATGTTCAATTGATTCGATTATCGATATGTAAAAAATCATATTTATGATAGTTTTATATTTCTGTTTAGGGATTATACAAACTTTTCAATATCAACAATTGAGAATGAATCAAATTCTATAAGCAAACATTTTAATTCAATTTTCTTGATATGTTCAATTGTATTTGTTCTTATATTCTTTGGATGTATATGGATATTATACAATCATTATCGGATACGAAATAATAATAGACATCATACAGGAAGACTTAATAATGAACCTATTTATTCTCATTTGCTAACGACAAATGAATTTCATTGAAATTAAAATGAATTTTATTCACAAGCTTCATTTTAAATGAAGATTTTTCCATTGATTTTTTTTTTGTATTCTTTGAATTTTTGAACGCATGAAATAGCGTATTCGATTATTTGCACTTGTCATATCTTTTCTTTCCCAATAAAATAGAACGATAGACCAGTTACGGGTGTAGGTAAGAGGAAATACTAGACTCATATCCACACTCGTGAAAAAAAGTTATTATCATCTTCAAGAATTTCTGTAACAATTGTTGATTTACTAGCACCGGTGACAACAACAATTTTATACTTAGTTTCATTTATTGTATCTACTGTTAAAGTAACACGTTGAAGTGGAGGTTCTGACGAATCTTTTACAATTTTTTTCCTAATCCTTTGTTTATGTTAAGAACTGAATGATCAGGAAAAATGACTTGTTGTATGACCATCAGGTCTCATACCAAGAAGAATTATATCAAATGAATAAAAATTAAGAACAAATTATGATATTAGAAAAAACGTAATTAACTTTATCTGGTTCAATAAATAATTCTTCTAATTTGTTTTGATAATGTTTTGCATATTCTTAAAAAATTTTTAAGAATAGATACTTTAGACAGAATGTTTCTATTTAACAATCATCTTCATCCTCTCAAACTCTTAAAAAGGTTTTAGATATAAAATCTTTTTTCAAAATTTGATGATCATGATATGTAGCAGTATTATTCACAAAAAAATAATAAAGATAATGGAATTTTATTAGATTATACCTTTTTTTTTTTAAAAATAAATATAATCTATATATAATAGCATGAATGTCCTTGTACAAATCTGTAAAACATTGAAGACCTTCATGTTGCTATTTGTTGACCGGATATCCCAAATTTGTCTAAAACGAAATAAAATAATTTCTAGATAAAAATAAAAGAACAAATTGAAACAATAAAAGACATACAAAACCAAATTTTTTTTTATTTCAATCATCTTTTCGATGATTAGATTAATTTTTGTAAAGTTGTCATCACCATTGCAATTTTCAACTTTGTCCTTGACATAATTTTTAAGTATTGACATGATATGATCATTATTTCGTATAAATCTGAAATATTCATAAAGATTTTCTTGATGCATTTGTAGTTCCGATTGTGCTTCATGTTGAAATTTTCTTATTTCTGGAAGAGAAAAATGAAAACGATCAATAGAGGAAATATTCATTGACAAATACAAATGAAAGGATAAGTAATATACCTGTCGGAGTTTTTAGCATTAAATGTTTGCAGCAAAAATGATCAAGTCATCCAATTGTGTATAGATTGTAATCATTACGAGCTTTCCAATCATGTGATGATTCCTGTTCGTCCACTGTGGGTAACATATATTCATCGGACGAAAATGACCACTCATCTATAAGCAAGATTAAATCGTTTTTTGATTATATTACATTATCAAATGAACTATTTACCTCGATTATGTTTATTTGCTCGAATCTTAAATGAGAGAATGTTTTGTTTTGATTATATAATATATATATAAAGAATAAATCTTACTTGACGCTTACGATGTTTAACCGAATGTTCCATTGTATCAACAGTACTATCACCTCTTCGTTTTCTTGAATTACTTTTATCACCGTCAGCACTAGTGTCTGTACTATCACTCGTCACGACATTTCCTAGAAAAAAAAAGAAAATATACTTTGCCTTTTCTCGGTAGACTCACCAAAAGATTTCTTTTTTTTGTTGACCAAATGAATTATTTCTTCTCGAAAACTATCGAGTACAATCAAGTAAGATTGAATCATAATACCCTTTGATGGAGAATCTTCGTTTTTTTCAAAAAATAGTTTAATCGAATTTTCATTCATATCTGGAATTCGACGATCGATGTATTTTTTAAGAATATCAAGAGTTTCGACACTCTTGAAGGCTATTGGAACGAAGAATTTCAATTCAAGGCAAACCAAATTAGCAAAACCTTCATTGAAACGTTGTTTGACATATGTCCAAAATTGATCGGTATTCATACCCAGGTCAATCAATCCGACACGGATCCGATGGTATCTTATAGGATCCAACGAGTCCTACAAAATCCGATCGGAATCCGGGTCACGATTCGACGAACAAATCCTAGTGTTGGAATCCGAGAGACATCCGATCGGATCCGATCAAATTCAACAGTCGGATTCGATAGAAACTCCAGCAGTCGGATTCCGACGAGATTCCTATAGTATCCTATCGGATTCCAATACTATGGATCCGTTAGTCGGATCGTGACCCGGATCCAATAAAATCCTATAGGATCTGGATAGGATTCGATAGGATCCGATGGGATCCACTGTCGGATTGTTCGTTCTGGGTATCTAAATTGACTTTCTCCTTTACCATGATGGTTTGTCTAAACGATAGTAACAAGAACAGAGTTGTAATAAATAGTTTCATTCAATGCGACTTAAACTCACATCGTGACAATTGGGCCTATTTGCATATAAATCAAATGCTGCTTATACAACAATATACTACAGTATATATATCAACCAATCAAGATGAAGAATGAACAATAGTAACGAAGAAAACAAAAAAAACAATGGACAACGATAGCACATAGACAAAGAGAGTCGTCAATTTTTATTGGATATGTATGGAAGAATGATCAAAAGAGCATTGACAATGAATAAATATGGCTAGATGGGAGTATAGGATGGGTAAAAATATTATTTCAGGGGTAATACTATAATTTCAAATAGTAGACATAACTAATTTTATACCAAATAAAAGCGCGTCGACAATGGGGTTTATTTGTACTAAATAGTAAAGATTATGAAAACTTTTTAATATCGAATATCAGACATTTTTATAAATTTTATACCTCCCAGGTCGAAGAATCCGACAATAAGATCTTGTGCGATATTGCAATACCTTACAAGATCTTACTGTGAAATCTTATATGATCATATAAGATCGTATGAAAGTCATATACGATCTTGTATGATTTTTATAAGATAGTCATAAAGCCTGCACATCTGATCATATCGTACTGTACGATTCTTATATGATCTTATTGTATGATCTGATAAGATCTTGCATTATTCATACATGCTTCTATACAACTATAGGATGCATCGCATGATTGATATTCTTGCACTTTTCATCACCTCTACCTAATTTTTCAACAGGCTGAGTTACCTTCTTCAAACTCTTTGTTTCAAGAGAAAACATTTATCGCGAAATTTTTATCATTTTACTTCATCTCAGACTAAATTTATTTTTAAATAAAAAAAATATTTATCATTTCCACATGAAAACATGCAATGAGTAATGCGTAGTTTTATCGAAAACAGATCACAGTTCGGTTTGATGTTAATTTTAAGCTCGTCCTCGAATAATCGACCACCAGTATATAGAGTAGAGTTCGATATTGAAATTGACTTAATTAATTACAGAGTTGTAGTTTGGAAAACGGATTTAACCAAATTATATTGGATAAGGTTTCCTTGATTTTATTTTAATCATAAATGAATAATTTTATTATATTTATTTTGTGTTAGTTGGAATGATCAGATAAAATAATTTAATTTAATTGTAGAAAAAATCTAGTATGATAATTTTGTTTCAATCGAAATAAAATAAAATGATAAAATTAGGTTAATTTAATTCCATATAATGTAAATTCTAAATAATATTATCAAATTGAATATTAATTTTGCATTAAAAAAATATAAATGCAATAATTCCATTAGTTTAACTTTATTTCAAGTAAGATTAATCTCTTCACTTTGAATTTATTTTATTTTTCCAGACTATTAAATAAATAATCTTATGAAAATGAACCTATTTTGTTGTAAAACAAGTATAGTTGTATTAAATTGCTTTCATTTTACTTTGACTATAAGTATAGATAATCTTCTTAGATTAATTATATCTTAACTGAAATAAGTTAAGCATATACATCAAATGAAACTAACTCCTTTCACATTGATTGAAAGTAAAATAAAATAATATTTTTCATCATTAGTTTGAGGCAAAATAAACCAGAAATATCGAAATTCAGTCGATGAAACCACAAAGACTAAATAAGATCGATACGAATTTCAAATATCTAAAACAAAACTGGATAATTTTGAAGAATTATAAATTAATATAAAAAGCCTAGTTGTATTTTTGAAAAAATATATGACGTGCAATTTCTTCCACCATACCAGAATATAAGACGAATGTAACGGTTTCTCGCTCATATATATAGTATATATTAGCCATTGTCAGCTTACATGTCCTCTACACTAGAGAATTATTATTAATTACAGTTTTACAAACAAATACAAAAAATGTTTTTTTTCAATAAGAATAAACGATAAAATGAATTTAACGAGATAAAATTCAAAACAATAATAAACTTAATCAAGTCAAATCAAATTGATTAGTAGTGTGCTGTTTTTATAATAAGCATCGCTGTATACAAAACGTGTATTTGCAATTTAAAAAGAAATTATATTTCTATTAGGAACCATTCCATCACTTAAACACGTTTAGTAATCCACATCTATAAACCTATCGTTATAAAAACTAGTTTGCATGAGAAATATCTTAAAATTATGGTCTGACAAGATCCTACAATATCTTACAAGACTCCCATCCTCAGATCTTGCAAGAATCTTATATCAAGAATCATATAAGATTGACGCTAGCATCTTATAATAAGAATCATATTAAATCTTAGAACAAGAAATTTGCAAGATTTCGTAAGATCATACAATCTGAATCTTACAAAATCTAATTGTCAGTAAGATCGTATAAGATCTTATATGATCCTCGTACGATTTTTGCACCTGGGTAATTGTACCACTTATGGTGATGGTTTATACGATGTATTGCTATAACAATCAGCATCTCTACCTTCATCTATCTAGTGGGGTTGGATTTTATCGAAAAACAAAAACATCATTTCGAAGAGACTCTTTTTTCAGTGATTTCTGTCATATATTTATTTTCTGATGTCTCTACTCGAATCAGATGTTGTCCATCGTAGTACACATTCGACAATGATTGGCATTTCTTGTATAGCTTTATATCATCAAACCATGTACTAAAACGGACACATAAACATTGAAGAGGGTCGCTATTATGAACTGCTAATGGATAAGGATAAAGATGTTTATGTTTCTGATTATGGTAGGACTGAATTGAAGAGAAGGAAAATAGGAGATAAAGATAAAATAATCGTAGCAAGTGGAAATTCAAGAGTAAATTATCTCAATCAACTCAAGTATCCTCCTACTGGTATCTTTGTTGAGAAAGATGGCTCATTCTACGTATCAGATAGGTTAATCATGTGATGAAGTGAATAAAAAATTATGAAAGGAGCTATTGTTGCAGACGGAAATGATCGAGACAATGGAATGGCACATGTCTTATCCTGGAGGAGAAATTGTCGATCAGTTAGATCAGATCTATGTAGTAGACATGCACCAAATCCAAACGGTTTGATTTTGGTGAGTTTGGTTTAATAAGTTCGGTTTTGATCAATGAGTTTGAGTTTGAGTTCGATACATGTCTACTATGTAGTAGATAATCACCATAATCGAGTGATGTGCTGGTAAACTGAATCTACTGAAGGAACTATGGCTTATGCTGAACATGGAAAAGAAGAATAATTAAAACAGTTGCATTGTCTTTTGGTTTTGTCATTTGATCTACAAAGTAATCTGCATATTAGTGATTGTGACAATTATTGAACACAAGCATTTGAAATTATTTAACATTAAAATTGTTTGTTAAGTTGAATAAAACTTTGATAAATAGTTGATTAATTTTTATTTATTAAATTTTGATTCAATATTTTTAGGAAAAATAAATTTATTTAATGTATAAAGTTGAATGATCAAATCATATTTAAGATTTAAATTCTTATGGTGACTGACTGGACATATGGTTAGACAAGCGACGACCCTCAAATCCGAAACTAATATCATTAGTAGATTGAGGTCTGTGAGCTGCTTCTATGTACATCAACGAAGACCCAAAATTGTTAAAAATAAGAATGATTTCTAGGAAACACTGTTTCTTCAACCGATGGCAACTGTTATCTTTTCACTAATGGACCGCTCGACTCCAATCAGATACAGGCAATGATCCTAATAAGAACAGGTTTTTCAGAGATGTTGATAGTTTTCTATTTTACTAAGCCATTTTTTGTGAAAAAAATGACTTTTTTATATTTCTGAATGCAGAAAAGTTTGCTGCATCTAATGGTGCAAAAATCAACTAATTACCTCAAATAATAAAGGAGTAATTAGCGGTATTTTCCGACTAATTGAATTTTTTCTTATTAGGAACACTGTTTCTAATAAGAACAAGCTATGTAAAATGCATAGATAAAAAAAGATTTTTAGTAAATGAAGTTTTTCTGTATATAAACTTAAAAATTTTGAAAAACTTTTTGAACAAAAAATGTGTCTTATTGATCAACGACTTATCACTTTTGTAGAGCAACTCAAGCTCTATCCATTGGAGTATGCTTGATTTGAATAATGAAAAGTTTTCAAGAAAGAAAATTCAAAAAACGTCATAAGTCAGTTTTAGGCATTTTTAGAGGTTTATTTAGGGGTATCTCAAGTCGATCCACCCTAGTCGAGCAAGAGTTAATCTTTATATCGTGAAACTTTGGATTATTCTATAAAACACGTAGGTCAAACTTCCTAGGATATTAAATCCAAAATCTGTTGACCCTCATGTTTTCGCAATCTTTGGTTTTCTCGTGGAATGTCTTTTAAATTAGTTGATAATTTTTTTGTTTAATTGATTAATAATTATTATTGTTATCATTTAACTGGAAAACGCTTCAGAGGTGGGATCGATTCGGTTTGAATTTTTTAAAAAGCTAGATCGATTCGGTTCGATTCGTCAAAAACACGAACCGATTCTATCTCTTACACACTTAGATAAAAAAGTATTCTCCTATTTAATTAACAATTTTTAAATAAATACTTCCTATGAATATCAAAATTAACTAGAACAAAACAAGTTTTTTTTATGAAAATAGAAACAATATCTTTTCACATATACTATTGTAAGAAAATAATCAATAATATAATAGATATTAATTATCGATGTATTTACATGCAACCGGAGAAAACCATATATTATTCTAATTTTTAACAATAATTAATTAAAGAGTTGGTTCATATTGTCTATGAAAAAGGTTCGACATAATTATTCGATTGACCTATCGATCGAATTTCTTCTTTTGAGAGAGAATTAAAAATTTTATTTTATGTGTTAATTCAACACTTGATAGTGAATTTTGAATTCATCAACCTAATTTAATTTTGCAACGAGAAACAAAAAGAAGTCTATTGTGATAAAGAAAGTAAAATAAATATTTTCTTGATTTAATCTTTAAAAATTTCTTCTCTTTTTATTTCTCTACATAAATAAAGAAAATTTCTTTTTCCTATGTGTTATGTAGAGTCCTGCACGGGTACTACTTTTCGCACCCGGACCCGACCTGGCCCATTTTTTTCAAACCCGGAATCCGACCGGACCCGGTCATCTTCCACCCGGAACCAAACCGGACCCGGATAGCTCTACTCGGTACCCGACCGGACCCGGCCCAGTCATGAAATAGTCGACATTTGATTGTTATTATCAAAATTATATTCACTTTTCAAACTTTTATTTCATATGGCAAAATATACTATTATTTTAATTTCATCAAGTAACAAGAACAAAAAAAGTCATCTAAAATTTCGCAAAAAAACAAGTGAATCAAGAGATTCAGGATTCAGTTGTTGTCGTCGTGCTTCTAGAATTCTTCCTTTTTGTAGCACTCATGTTGACAATATGTAAAATGAAAAAAATCGTCACGCTTGAATTCTTAGGATCTTGAACATATAATTAATAAAACAATATTGTGTGTCAGTTATAAATAAACTTTTGTAACCCTAAATAAAAAAAACGTAAATCAATATTGTAAATCATTCATTTTTAAGTCTTACAATCTTGAACATATAAATTAAAAAATATAAAATCATTTAATAGTTGCAAGTGAATTATTTCGATGTTCAGTTTAAGAAGAAAAAAGAAAAAAGAACGTTCTTCGCTGACATAGTTTATTGTCAGTATATAATGCATCGATGAGTCATGGTCGAATCGTTTATAATACGTGTAACTTTTTAACAAATAGCGATCTTAGAGTGTAAAATATTTTTACTTGTTAAGATGTCATCGACTACCGGTCGGGTACCGGGTATGCTCAAATCCTGCACCCGATCCGGCATTTTTTTTTATACCCGGCACCCGAACCGACCCGGCAAATTTGTACCCGGACCACAGTTCCGGGTCCGGTCGGGTGCCGGGTACCCGGCCCCGTTGCAGGACTCTAGTGTTATGATGAATGCAGAGAAATAGAGTACAAGATAATCAAATAGATTGCCGTTTTCCTTTTGTATTCATATATGTTATTGCTTGATCTACAAAAAAGAAGACAAATATTAGAATTATTTAATCAATATATATATATAAAGTATTTACCATATAAAGCTTTCAAATGAACCATTCGCTGACGAAAAGTTTCACGACTGTCAATTACTCTATCAGAAGCTGCTATTGCTGCTGCTTCTGCATTTGGATCTAATTGATCAGATGCTAGTTGTTGTTGTAGTTGATTGTATTGTTCATTGAATTGATCAGCTTCCCTTGAATATTGTTCATACTGAATACAAAAATGAATGTTCTTAGTTTATAAAATATGATGAAATAGTGAATCTTACCTGTTGGATTAACTGTCGTGCCTGTCGTATATTGGCAATTCGACCAGTTGGTAATTGACAATAGTTGATTTTCTTTTTAAAATCACTTGATTTGCTTCGTATTAAACTCATAGTTTAATCCACAGAGAAAACGAAATAATTCAGATATTTTAATCGCGAATGTTTATTAAAAAATATGCAACATGTTATAGTCATATAAACGAAGTTAAGCTGAAACACGTATACATATATAGGACAACTAACTAATGATAATTCGTTCTTTTCTTTATTTTTCCTCCTATTTTATTCTATTTCTTTCTTTAAATTAAAACTATATCTATCCTTCAACGCCATCTTTTCGTTTGATATCAATGAAAAAGCACGTTAAACGAAGAACAATCACAATAAAAACAATTATTATTTCAATATGTCATGCAAGAAAATCCAAATTCCATAATTCAATCATCTTTATCAGCTTGGATCGCTGAATCAACACGTGGTTCAGATATTCTTTTATTTTCTAACATTTATCTTTTATTTTTATTTGAATTCTGTTAGTACATATCTATTGTAGAGTGCACACGCAATATAACTACACGTCTACATTTTGCAATGAAAACAAATAAATTAATAAGTAAACAAGAAAAGAAAAGCAATTATAAGTGATCGCTATGAGACAAATAGGCGTTCTTAAATCAATAATCATTTTTATTTTATTTTTCTTATGCATTTATCTATTTAATTTGAATTAAGCCATGTAGCATTTAAACTCTCATATAGTAATGATAATAATCATCTAGATTGATATCTAGAATGTCTTTTGATTGATGGTAAGAGATATATAGATGCACTTGAGTCTGATGAAAGAATTAATCTTAGATTTGATAAAGTAAAATCTTCAATTAATTTAAATGAATATCTAATTTTTTATATAAAGAGTTATTGTTATCACTTATTACATGCTATTGAATATCTTCATCATCATCGTAGTATAGACACACACATATATATATTCTTTGTCTATAAATAATATATATTTTGATTTTGATTTAGCTTTGAAATCATCAAATATTTTGACTGATTATGCAGGTTAAATATTTTTATTTTTTAACACGATTCAGAAAGGGTGTGGGTGGGTGGGTGTGAGTGGGTGTGGGTGTGGATGTGGGTGTGGGTGGGTGTGGGTGTGGATGTGGGTGTGGGTGGGTGTGGGTGTGGATGTGGGTGTGGGTGCGGGTGTGGGTGTGTGGGTGTGGGTGTGGGTGTGGGTGTGGGTGTGGGTGTGGGTGTGGGTGTGGCTGGGTGTGGCTGGGTGTGGGTGTGGGTATAGGATAAGAGAAGATTCGCACCCACACCCACACCCCACCCACCCACACCCCACACTCACACCCACCCCACACCCTGTTGTCCATCTCTATGTCTGTTGCCAGGTGAAAGGTCAGTGGTTAAAGTTCAAAGTGATTATTGTGAGATTTCTAGAAAGGTCTAGAGTTATGTAGACTACTCTACTAAAACGTACTTAGTATAAGGAGTATAGGAAGTATAGGGAATATAGGGAGTAAGGAAAATGTAGAAGATATAGAGAATTAGAAAATATAGGAAACATGGGAAGTATGGAAATGTAGGGAATATAGAAAATACGCGGAGTATAAAGAATATAGGGTGTATGAGGACTATAAGGAATATAGAATATAGGGAAGATATGGTATAGGAAATACAGGCGTATAAGAATATAGGGGTATCAGGAGCATAGGAAGTATAGGAATATAAGAAGTATAAAAAATATACGGAGTATAAGGACCATGGAGAAAATAGTAGTGTAAGAAGTGCACGAAATATATGGATATAAGGAATATAGGTGGCATAAGGCGCGTACGGAGTATATGAGTCTATAAGGGCTATAGGAAATATAACGAGTCTCTATGTATATAACAAAAAAGCAGTCGTGTAGTTTGCACGGGGTCTCACTAGTATACATATACAGTAATCGCCATAAGTGGGCGCGATTGAAAAAACGAGGAAGACAAAGGAGTTATTTGGTCATATTTTATTTATGAAACTTACATTATATGTGCATCATCCTCATAATTAATATAAGGGATTTTTCTTTCAATTAACAATGCTACTCTATTTTCCATAGAATCGCCTAATTTTTCAACAAATTCAATAGCTAAGTTTCTCCATTCTTTTTTTTATTCTCTCAATGAAATTATTGATCGATATATACGGTTCTTTTTTTATTCTGAGCTCCACTAATGCCTAGACATCTTCAGTTGGGTTAAAGTCTTTCAGTTTTATATCCTGCTGGGGTCTTTTTTAAAACATCGTCACTTGTTAGCAATGGTTTCGAGATCGGTCTCATTGAATGTACATCGGTCTCTTTAAATCTTCTTCTTAATATGGTTTTACTAATTTTTATATCTTTTTGTGATAATCTAAACGCAATTTGACCGACAGATTCTATTGAATGTTGAGCTACCATGGATTGAATTGTTGTGTATTGTTTTTCCTGTATAGACCGGGTTTTTGTACAATTTATACGTCACCAGCTATTTCATACCTTCTAAGCCTACATTTTACAATTACTTACTGATTCGTATAGATACTGTGGAATATTACCATTTGACATATGTGGGGAATAGCTTTGCCTTTATAGAAAGATAATTTCTTGTCTTTTCTTTAAAAAACGGCTCATTTTCTATTGAGTTATAAATTGATAACAGAATGAATATAAATGTTCCTATTTATACCGGATGATGAGCCCAACTAGCCCGTCCAAACAAAGCAAAAAGATGAAATAAAAGTCATTGTTGGAGAAGAAAAAGAGCTCACGGCCACTTATGGCGACTACTGTAAATACCACTGAATTCGATGTTTTGATAGCCCTTGAAGAATCAGTCATAAGTACCCTCTTGGATAGCCCTTGATGGATCATAAGCATCCCCCTGGATAGGCCTTGATGGTTCTTAGGTATTCCCTGGATAGCTTCTGAATAGTCAGGAATAGCAGTCCATAACTTACACGGAATAGATGTATTAGAATTAATAATAATGCCAATTTAATGCTAACAGCAAAGCATTAGGCTTTTTGATTAATACTAATGCTAATTCTAATGTGACACCCCTATCATAAATGCCTTTACAATGCCATTTTCTATTGTAATAGTATGCCCTAATTTTTGTCACCAATTAAGTAGCATAGATTCTCCTTCTACTGTGACGCTGCCAATCAAGAAAAAGAACTTACACATATAAAAAATGGCTAAAGATGAGATTAAAATCGATTTCTAATAATCGACCGCAATTAATTTAATTTTGATAATCGATTAAGAAGATTAAAATCAACTGAACCCTATCTTTAACACTGAAAGATCTTATAAAATTAGATCAAAATAGTGACATTTCAATCGATTTTTAATCCAAAAATAGTTAATTTTAGTATGCTTTTTAGCCGTTTTTTTACATAGGTAAACTATGGGAATATGTAGGTGTATGGTTGCTATGTACTGATATCGTCTCTGTTGTTTGTACATTTTATCGAGACCCCAAGAGATATCAACCGAAATCGCACAAATAAGATACTTCTAAAAATCTTGAATTTTATAAAAATATTGTTCATGGCAGAAGGCAGAACTCGCGACTCTTTCTCAACTCTGTGGAAATGGAACTCTTGTTACCTAGCGACCTGTTTAGCTGATCCTAAGAGCATATTATTTATATTGAATAAGAGGGATTCGCCAACGTTAACGACTTCTTATGACGAAATACGATAAAAAATAATGATCCTGTATCAGACCAGTTCCAATAGACCAAGACAGTACCTTGCGATATTATCTGACGAGCGTATACAGTCACCGTATTGTTAAGAAAGTCGTTCACGGCGACTTGTTTTGGTCATTGTTTACGATGGCCGTTAAGCATGGTTTACGATCGCTGTGGGCAGCTACCGTATATAGCTCACGTACACGGTGTCTTACGACATCTTATCTTCTCGACGTATACAGCCGCTGTGTTGCTCCGCTAGTCGTTGAGGGCGACATTTTACGGTCGTTGTTTACAATGGTCGTAATATGCCGTAAAGCGTTATTTACGACTTTTGTAAACGGCTACCGCGAACACCTGACGTATACGATGTCTAACAGTTTTTTTCGAACAAAGTATACAGTCGCCGTATTATTACGCTAGTGGTTTACGGTGACCTTTTACGGGCGTCGTTTACAGTGGTCGTAATATGCTGTAAAGTATGGTTTACCATGACTGTAAACGGCTACCGTAAACAGTCGCCGTTATCCGCCGTGATTGGTTAGTGTACGGCCGACCATGATTGACTTGGGTCGTTTATTTGATTCTGTATATGCCAATAATAAACATCTGGAAACTTATTTGCTTCGTCTAATTTCGGTTTCCTTCTCTCAATAAACTGAAAATGACTAATCTTTGGATTCAGTGCATGTCTGGCGGTAGAGAAAATAAATAGTATTCCATTCAGCTGAGCATTAATTAAGTTAAGTAATTAATTGATTTTACATTCATATGTTCTTTCTTTTAATTTGTTTTTAAACTTTACATATAAGTTGTGAGGAGATATATAGAATATTTATACTACCGAAAAAGAAACCTCTTTCTTGTTTGAACAGATAGCTATTGATTACTTTTTGTGGGCATTGCTAAAGTTTACAAGTTCTTTTAATGACCTCAGATATTTTTCCTTTTTGCGCATATTTGAATGCAAAAAAAAAGATAATAAGATACGTAGTTTTTTGTTGAAGTACACACAAAAATCAAATGAACAACGTATGTGATAATGCAGCGAAGGTACCAATTCTACGTATCACGAGAGAAACACAACATGAACCATCATTGATGAACGAGCTCACTCAAACTATAGACGATTTAACTAAACAAGTTCAACTTGCGTTGGATAAAATCCAAAAAAGTCGTAATGAGGCGCTTGAAAAGGCCAAGGAAATGCGACGACAAAAAATACAAGATATTGAAAAACACTTTATGAGTCAATGTAGTAATATAGAAGAGCGATACAATCAGTTGATGCGACTCGAAGAAGACGTTCGAAAACGTCTGACAATAGAAGCTTGTCAAAAGTACATCACTATGAATTCGGACGATAATGATGAAGCGATCGTTATACAACAAATGATCGATTCTCTTTCTCAAGATATATGGCAATTACGATGGAATGTTTCGTCTAAAGTATTGAAAGTAAGTCTCATAAATATCCACATATACTTCATATCATATTTTCTCTTCAATTTTAGCCATCAACAATACAAACATCGACTCCTAATGGTGAAAAGCATGCTAGTTTTTCTCCGTTGTTTGAAAATGCAGCAGCGGACACATTGAAAACGAAAGATAGATGGGTTGGAGGATGGGCAGAACAAGCAAGTTTAGCGCGAAACGCACAAAATGCAAATAAAACTCAACAGCCACAATCGAAAAAGCCTCAGAAGATTGAACCTAGTCAAAAACTTATTAGCCTATTTTCATCAAATGCGGCTCAAGAAGATGTTAAGAATTATTTAAAGGTAGCTATTATTATCGCATTATCTGGATTATAATAAAAAATTCATTATTGAGATGTTTCTAAAAGCTATAAATTAATACTCTAAGTTTAGTCTCTATTATATCTAACTAGCGAAAACCCGTGCATACTGCACGGCTGCTTTTTTCTCTAACATATGACATCAAAACTTTAACGTTTGACCCCGTACAGACATGCACACATTTGACATTATGTACATAGAGCCCCTACGGCTTTATAATTTTACATCGCATATATATTTTCCAGTCTATATAGTTTTCGGCCTTATAGCCTTATATCTCTCGTAGATTTCATAGCCTTATCTCCTTGTTGCCTCATCACCTTGTTGCCTCCCCCTTATTGCCTTACTCCTTCTTTCCTTAATCCCTGCAGCGCCTATGGGTATCGTCATATGATACCCCTTGAGGACCTATAGGCACCTCCATAGAGCGACCCTTGAGGATCTATGGATACCCCCGTAGGATAGCCCTTGAGGATTATGGGTACCCACTATAATAGCCCTTGAGGGCCTATGGTACCCTATAAAATAGTCCTTTGGGTCCGTGAGTATTCCCATAATATAGACCATGCGGACCTATGGGCACCCTCATAGGATAGCCCTTGAGGATCTATAGCTATCTCATAAAATAGTCCTTGGGGACCTATGGGTGCCTCGTGAGATAGCCCTTGAGGACCTATAGCTACTCCCTAGGATGGCTCTTGTGCTCATCTGTGTATCCATATAGGATAGCCCTTGAGCCCATATGAGTGCCCCCATATAATAGCCTTTGGGACCTTCCCTTATAATATCATCTGACCTTTGACCCGGCACAGGCAGATAGACGCTAAACATTATATATATAGATGACATAGGTCATCACAATATCTTGTAGTCGTGTTTGTCAGTTGAAGGAGCACGGGTAACTCCTTTCTGCAACTCTGTTTCTATTTTCTAACAAAATCGACAGATAGACAAAGATGGGTAATCAAAAGATCGAATATCGATTTCTTTGGTATGCAAAAGTTAAGCGAAGGAAGAGAAAAGCAAAACTGCATAAAATAAATAAAGTCTATTCGAAATTTTCTCGGTTAATGCTTATGTCATAAGGATGAGATATTCGGCATAAGCTTCGTAATAGACCATGTTTTCTCGATAAATTCAACAGAGGACATCAGTGGAAGCAATATATTTAAAAAGCCAGCAACACGCGATATTATCTGTAGGAAAACTTTTACCGGTGAGATGATTTTCCAAGTGAGAATAAAAAAACTAGCAATGGATAAATATCGAAAAAGTAATTACGTTTATGTAATACTTCATTTTAGACTTTCTTTATATTAACGAAGAAAAAAAGCATCATTCCTGAACAAATTGCTATTCTTGTCTCGTCTTTTATTCAATCTGTTGATGAGGGTGAAAGTAAAATGATAACATCACAATACATTGATATGATTAAATATTGGGCCAAAAAACATCCCGATGGAGAATTCATGGTGATTGTTGGCATTCAAGTGTTCGTCTCTTCTCAAGGACATATCACAGTTGACAAAGATGCAGGTAGCTCCTCTTTTTCTCACGCTTAATAATTTAATTTTTAATTTTTCCATTAGTTTTCCATACAACAAGAATTACTGAATGATTGTTGAATGAGTATGAATATGGGTAGATAAATGAGAGTGAAACACTAGTACCTCACCCACCTTCTATAGTTTCAGATACAATTGTAGACAATATCGATCAACTTTTCGTTTATTTTTCTCTCATTTCAGTTAATATATTTTCACACCTGTTGCAATTTTTCACACAAAATCAATGCGTAAGCAATGAAAGTATTCTCAAGTGGTATCAAAAAGGCACACATGGTAGAAACTACGTTGGTTATCCAGTAGCTCGCCATATGGCATCCAAATATATCTCTGAAACTTTTGGGATATAATTTGTTTTTATAGACTTAAGTGAACTTCAGAAGACATACGTTCTTTATATATTTAGCATGTTGTAGATTTTTTTATACTTGTATTATTTCTATACTAAAATGCATAAACATTTTGAAGGTGAGAGGGTGAGAACAGCTACCATAATCTATAAGTTTCACTGCAACTACGCAGATCATCAGATGGGTGTGGGTGTGGGTGTGGGTGTGGGTGTGGGTGGGTGTGGCTGTGACTGTGGGTGTAGGTGGGGGGGGGGGGGGGGGGGGGTGGGTGTGGGCGTGGGTGGGGGTGGGGGTGTGGGTGTGGGTGTGAGTGTGGGTGTGAGTGAGTGCGTGTTGCGTGTGGGTGTGGGTCGTTTCTAAAAGTACACCCACACCCACACTCACACCCACACCCTCAACTAGTCCATAATCATATAGTCGGAATAACATAAACTAAACTATCTAGTCATCTTTTACGCTCAAAAAAAATTTTTTTGATGGAAAAAAGACTTTTTCCTACAAAATCCTCTTTTTTTAAAAAAAAATTCAATTTTTGAAAAAAAGGTATGTTGTGACGACAGTACACTTTTTTGCGAAAGTCTATTTTTTCGAAGGACCAAACCTCAAAATCAGGCTGATTCTTAATGTTCAGACCACATAGTATTCAGCTATGAGTTTATCTCCAACTTCGTTTTTCTGACGAAATTTGACATTTTTTGAGGGGGGGGGGGCCCTCTTAAAGGATTCAGCTATTTAAATGATGTAATAGTTGTAAATATCGTTTAAATAGCTGAACTTTTACTTTTCAATAGCTACTTAAACAAAAAGTTACACGAATATTGTAGAGGCGCCTTATTTTAAGTAGCTATATAAAGTTTTAAATAGCTATGATATTTAATTAAAAAGTATCTCTTTTGAGAAGCTACGAGTATTGACTCATTTTTCGACTTTTCCGTTGGGAAAAAATTTCCAAAAAAAAATTTCGAAATAGAGACGATCGTCTTCTGATTTTCCCTAAATCCGTCACCGTATTGTTTGAATCAGAGTTTGATAAGTATGAGTACGTTGCTGTATTGGTACTCGACAAAGTTCGTATTTGCCCAGCTATGGATTAAATATTGGTAAACGTTTTTAAAACTCATAGATTTTTGGGAAGCATCTCATAAAAAACTGTCTCTCAAAAGAAGATCGTTTTAAGATGATGGATATAAAGTTTCATAAGAGAAGGTTACAGTCTCTAATTCTGGCTGAAAGAGGAGGAAGTGGTTGCACAAAGTGTGAGCGATAGTACTACATAGTTGCAAAGTGACCGGCTTCTGTTTTTGAAACTCTCTTTAAGAAATACCGAAATTCGCTTGTTTTTAAAGTTTAAACATAAAAAAAACGATTTAGCTACCAGCTGATCTTTGGTTTCATACATTCTATTTCTTTCTTCAAGTTATTTCGGTGATTGGCGACGTCAAAAGTGTTCTTCACTTGGTGGTACCATGGTTAGTAAGATTTGCCTGGCGATGTTATCTGAAGCGACAGTCAAGAGTCACTCCGGCGATCATCCAAATACAAACAGGAAACATAAAATAATTCACTTGTGGGTCACCATAGTCTTTTGTGTTATTACAGAGCTTCAAATCTGAGTGAAAATTTCATTGTATTTCTCAGCTTATTCTCATTTTGCAACAGTGTCTTTTCTTGCTTACTGTATCTTATTCACATATTTACATAAATGACGTCGTTCTAGACTCGATCTTCTTTAGTGCAGACTCACCAAGGAATACATTTAATTTGTACTTTGACTCCTAAAAAAAACGTGATTACAAAACTGTTAAGAAAACTGTTTCATTGTATCCTCTGAACTTTTGTCTTGATATTTACATTTTGGATCTGACCATCTTGGATAGATCGCTAAATTCATAAGTTCTGATGGGAAATGACAACAAACAAACACTCTCTGTAATGTGCTACAGCAATTCACTCGAATAGACCAAAATCAAGGGAGTCGTCAGATTTTCTGAAATGATAATTGCCATTAGGACTAGATGAGAATGGACTACTCACAAAGTGACATTTGGTCTTCATGAAACCAAGTAAGAATTGGACAGAATGCGTTTCAGAAAATGAAAATTATTTTCTTTAACAATAACTTTTAGTTTTGTCACTCACGAGGGAACCTCCCGAGACGATACCTCCCGTTTGAGCTCATATTTGGCTTACAAGCAGGTGCCAGTAAGACTAGCAAAAGCCTAAAAGGATTTCTCCCCAGTAGCCTTTGGAGCCGAGCTATGACTTTTTTTACTGATTTTTTTGACCATTTTTTCGACATTGGCCAAAAAATCAAACAAAGGAATTTAGACCTGAAAATCATCTTTAGAATATCCTAAGAATTTCAGCTGAAAAGAATGTTCCTTTGTCAAGATATTGAATATTCAAGTAAACTGGCTTTTTGCCCTTCATCTATGGTAAGCGATGATTTTTTAACAATTCAGTATCTCGACAAAGGAACATTCTTTTCAGCTGAAATTTTTAGGATATTCTAAAGATGATTAGATCTATCTATGAGCAAAATTTCAGGTCTAAATTTCGTTATTTGATTTTTTGCCCAATACCGAAAAAATGGTCAAAAAATCAGTAAAAAAGCCATAACTCAGCTCCAAAGGCTATTAGGGAGAAACCATTTTAGGCTTTTGCTAGTCTCACTGACATCTACTTGTGGGCCAAAAATCAGCGTAAACGGAAGGTATCATCTCGGGAGGTTCCCTCGTCAGGACACACAGTACACATTTTTATTTTACCTTTTTTCTCGATTGCGATTTTTTGTGATCTGAATGTTTATGAGCAGAATGTTTCATCATCTTCGGTGTTATCTGAATATATTCCTTGATATATTTTTTAATATAAAAATTCACTCAAACTGTGCCCAGCAAATCGTACAACTATTATGAATAGTGTTACATACATCGAAAAACAGCAAACATACAAACAATGCATGTGCATAAGGTAAGCTGCGCACCAGTTACTTTAGATGTGGAAACTTCAATGCATGAAAACATTGACACTATGCCATTTTCATTCTAGCAAAGCACATTTTTCCAAAACAGAGAAGCTCGACTAATGTAAGTGACATCTATGAAACGAAGCCGACTGATATACGGCAGAAGCTTCATATCGCATAAAGCAAATATATGACAGACCGACAACATCAATTATTCAAAAACATATAGTGAAAGAATCTGAAACAAAGATGCCACATAGTGCATACACATGAAGAACACACTCGGACAACCTTTGCGAAACTGAGGATGCCATGAAATAGATTCAGACTTGAAAGACACAGAGCATGTCTCTCAACTGAGAGTGAGGACGAAAACACAGACATATATAAAAGACTTAGTCAAGAGATGTTATCGAAGGTGAGGATAGCACAAAAGGTATACAGGCTATAATGCACTCGATTATGATACTTAATACTGCAGTCACGTAAATATTACCTTCATAGCTATTAGTACGTATTTCTTTGTTTCATAAACTAATTCTTTTCTTCTCATCTGTTTTTCTTCTCAGGTGTTTTTTAGCACACTACTGGTAAAACAGTGCAACTTTCGATATAAAACTAAACAAACTACAATTCTGTCACCAAGAAGGCAACGAATCAAAGGGATCCAAATCATATTAACAAGTTCGAGTCATATACATGAAAATAGATGTTCTATTCAAAAGGCTCTATTGATCTTCTCATCATGTTAATCTAATTATACGTACGAACAGCAAATAAGAATAATATTACTTATATCTTTTTCAATAACATTCAATACGCTTTTGAGACATTACATGCTGATGAATTCGGTTTTGGAAAGGAATATTCGGCAGATATTTCTATTATTAGTCTGACATCTGATTTAGCCTTTTTATTTCGTATAGAAATGTCTTGTTTGGAATAGATTAATCCTAGATTAAACTTCATATAGAAAGAAAATGAAAACTATTGATTTTTCTGGAACAAATATATTCTTGTGTCACAGGCTCAACATCTGTGATCGGATCGTGAATAAAAAGCAAGAGGGTAACCATGTTACCTCAGCACCAGATTTGACTTCAAGGTACTGAAAGGTTGCTGAGGTGCTCGAAAGGTACCGAAGTACCGAGGAGGTGCTGAGAAGTTAGGTGTGGGTGTGGGTGTGGGGTGTGGGTGTGAGTAGGAGTCTTTGTTTAGCAATACCCACACACCCACACCCACACCCCGACTCACACCCACACCCACCCCCACCCACACCTACACCCCACACCCACACACCGACTCACACCCACACCCACCCCCACCCACACACCGACTCACACCCACACCCACACCCACACCCACACACCCACACCCACCCTCACCCACACCCACACCCACACCCAGCCACACCAACCCACACCCACACCCACACCCACACCCACACCCACACCCACACCCACCCACACCCTTCATTGTGCAATCAGCAAACAAGGCTATGGGTACCATGAAATTCTTGAAGAATGCATTGCTATGTTTGACTAAATTTTACTTTTCATATGGCTACTCTCTGTTTTCATTGCTGAAACAACTTTTTTCAAAAAAGTGAATAAATAGCCGAGAAATTAATGAAGAGAAAGGGTTCAAATGTAAATGTGTGTACCTAAAATTCGAGTGAGAAAGATTTCTCCTTTTTATTAGAACAATGACACGTGCAGAGGCAGACCATTGAGAAACTCTCGCTACTTGCGAATATCATAAATGAACTTTGATCAAGTTCTTGCCGAGAATCGAACTTTAAACTGGTTCTATTTATAGAGTATATTACTTCTTCGTCAATTAAAGCACTAATCAGCACTCTGTGTGCAAGGAGAACATTCTCAGTCATGAATCTTTGAGGGCATGGTAAATTTCGATTTCCAGGAAATTCAAATTGGGTGAGGGGGGGGGGATGGGTATGGGCGTGGAGTGGGTGTGGGTTTGAGTGCTCTGTCTTACTGATCATCCACACCCACACTCACACCTCAACCATCAAGCGTTCAGTATGAAATATACCGAGTTTCAGATAGCCTACGGAACTTTTAAGCATCTGTGTAAAATTTACGAAACTTTAAGATAAAGTACGAAACTATCAATCGTTCTTTATTACGTTTACCAAACTTCTGGTTGATTTACGAAACTATCAATGGTTTCGTGTGTCACACACAAAACCTTCATATGATTCCTTTTGAGAATTGCCAAACCTTATTAGATCTACTGAACTTAAAAAAATTTAGTATGATAAATACGAAACGATTTTTATTCTGCCGAACTTATGTATAGCAGTTTAACGGTCTAGCGGTTTAGCAGTCCACTATATCACTACATTCTAAACTATACTTTTATACCGCTACGCTACTAAACCACTGTAACATTAAACTATGTATATCCTTTCCATCGCTATACTACTATATCACTAAACGATACCATCCGCATTCCAATGTCTCTAGTGTCACGATATCTCGCATATTTGCATCAATTTTTCCGAAAAAAAGTTCCTTTTTGTTCGATTTTGCCACAAATTCAAATTCCCGATTAACTCCAGTCTTCACCATATACATCGCATACTTTTCTAAGCTTGTTTGAGGCAGCTTTTCATGGCATGATGTATATATTGCCAGAGATAAAAAAAAGTTCCACAACGTCTTCTAGTTTCTAAATAAAGTTAGCAACGTTCTGGATTGTACATGTTTGATTACTTGATATAAAGCTACCTTCAATGGATAGTCAATTGGATGAAGCATTAAACAAAAGAATTCAACAATTGGATATCGATGAATATTTTCAATTTGAATTTATTCTCCAGACATTCAATATATATCTTTTAACTTCTAAGAGATTATGAATTGTATATGCTCATATCTCGATCAGAAAAATTCAACGAAAGAGAGACAACGAATCGATTTATAATTGTTCTGTTTTCAAGGTTGACATCGACCAATAAAACGTGGATAGAAACAAACATCACGAATATGAGGTCGGTTCGTGAGCCAAGTCATGAAACGATCGAGACCGAGACCATAACCACCATGAGGAAATGTTCCATACTTGCGCTATAGAATTATAATATAGATGAGGTTGAAAAACAATTCTTTTCGGTCAAATCGAATACACTCACTTGATCTAAATACCAATAGTAGGGTTCTAGTGTCAGACCATTTTGACGAAAACTTTCCGATAAATCTTTCAAACTCGTCATTCTCATGCTACCGCCAATAATTTCTCCAACACCAGGCATCAACACATCGACCTTAATGATACAAGAAGATACATTTTATAGATGTGAAAAAAAGAAAGAATTTTACCGATTCGGTTAGACGATTATCATTCGGATCTCGTTTCATATAGAACGATTTGATTGCGGCTGGAAATCGACAAAATAAAATTGGTTCATTGATTTCATCAGTCATTTTTCGTTCGGGTAATTCAGGTATATCTTCACCAAATTCATAAAATTTGCCAGTTTCTTCATTTTTAATTCCATGTGCTTTAAGCCATTCAATACCATCACTATAGTTCATTCGTTTGAACGGTTTTTTTGGTTGTTTAAAAGTCTACAAATGACAAAAAAAATATTAATCACTTTCATTTAATGATTTAACAAATAATTGTTACCGGATTGATTTCCTTTAATAGATGAGCAGCTTCACGAAATTTCAATACACGATCAACAACATCAACGATTAGATCTTCAATTCGATCAAGTAGATCATCGTATGAAATAAATGGACATTCAGCTTCTACATGTGTATATCTAAAAATTTACTCAATATGAGAACAAAGAATTGTTTCTCTTCTATTAACTCACTCAGCCAAATGACGACGTGTACGTGATTTTTCAGCTCGATACGATTGAGCAATACAAAAGACATCACCTAAAGCTGGACAAGCCGTTTCAAGATACAATTGTGATGATTGTGTCAAAAAAGCTGGTTCTCCAAAAAAGTTTAATTCGAACAAAGTTGAACCACCTTCAACTTGAGTTTGTACCAGTGTCGGTGGAAATGTCTAATCAAAGAAATGAATAAAACAATTCAATATATGATAGAAAATTTACTTCATAATAGCCTCGATCAAAGTAATGATTACGAAAACATTGTGTAACAATCGAACGAAGACGTAAAATTTTCGATGTCTACAAAAAAGAAAAAACAATATTTGATGAAATTAAGAAAAAAAAAGATATCATACATTTTCTCCACGGATCATCATATGTCGATTGTCAAGTTGAACATCAGGATGAGATTCCTATTGATCATTAAAGAACAATTAAATAGAAATATAGAAATGAAATCGAACCTCATTGAGTAACGAATTAGCACCACCAGGTAGTGAATGTCCAATTACTTCAAAATAATCGATGATCAATTCCTGATTGCCAGGCGCACTTTTTCCTTCAGGAACTGATTGTACAACACCACACACAAACATAGTCGCTTCAGTCGAAAATATAATTGAATCGTCTGTTTGACACTAAAGCAAAACAAAAACAAAATCAACATTTATATTTGAATATTGAATAAAAATTAGATTTACGAGAATGCCGGTCAAAACACATTGAAGAAAACCTGTTCCATCACGTAAAATAATGAATGTTAGATTTTTACCTAAGAAAATAACAAATCAATGAGTTACTATTCTTTCGTCTCTTTCTTACCTTGTCGCCGGATTCGATGTACCCATCCAAAAACTTTCACTCGTTTATCATGATGATCTTCTATTTTTTTAATTTTCATCTAATTTTATAAAAGAAATAGACTCTGCAGAATTAACGAAAAAAAAAGAACAAACCACTTTTGCTGTTGGCAATGATGTATCTTCTTTGATTATTATCCGTTTGGCCTCTTGCAATTTGTCTTCGTTCTGGCAAAAAAAAAACAAATAAGATGCATATCTTGGAGAATATGGAAAAAAAAATTTTGTATCTCTTGTTGACTCATACGTTCTTGCTTTCGTTTTTTTTCTTCTCATATTGATTTTTTACTTTTTTTCCTTGTATTCAGGACAAATGGGAGGCATTTGTCCTGAATACACAAAACAATAATGCAAAGAGAAAAGAGAGTTTTGTTTTTCTACTTTGCTTTCAGCTTTCGAATCAACATAGATTGTAATACCGTAGCTATATTAACGAAAGGCCTAATATTACGTAAGTATAATGAAATGTGCAGAGCACTTTTAGAATGAAATACCTGTAATGAAGTCTTGAATAGTTTCACCTCAGGACCATCACTTTGTTCGTCATTTTCATACTTTTCGGACGTATGAATTGGAGTTTCACCTACACACAACAAAACATTAACATGAAATCCGATAAAAAATACTTTATCATTACCGATTGCACAAGCTTCGAGCTCTTGTATTGTTGATTCTGTTGTAGTAGCCATCTAAAATAGCATTTCGTCCACTCTTTGACTTCGATAATTCTTACAAGTAAATTACTATGAGATTAGTCGAACCTATCAAGCATTAAAATACTATCAAATAGCACTTGTATCAATAGAAATTCTAGTATTCATGAAATGTAAGTGAAGATATACGCATAGTGAAAAAGTTTTCGACCACCTTGCCATACTTCTTTTTTTTTTATTCGATAATAATCTCTATTCAAATTTCCTGTTTTCACCAAGAAAAATAGCTCTGACCATCTTTTCCTGTACCTGTAAATATAAATTTCGCAATTTGTAAATATAATCATTTGAAATTTTAGCCTATTTATATATTGAGGTGTTAGCCGTCGGCTTTTCGCCGCCGCCGTCGATCGAATGAAAGGTCACAGTTCATGATTCCTCTTTTTCTGAACTATCACTTGTTGATAGAAATCAGTAACATCTCAAGTTTGATCTATGTGATAATGAGAGATTGCTGAAACCAAGAGAATTTTAAAAAAATAGAAATTAGTGTATTTTTTTCTTGGATGGTATATGGTCTAAAACCAAGCTGATAAGTAAATAT